TTGTAAGTGATGATTCGGCTCTATTTTCAAGACAAGGCAAAGATAGTTATTTTCACCAATGTGATAATTCAAAAAGTAATATGAGGAATTGCTATATTTGTGGAAAACCAGGTCATTTTGCTAGAAATTACTATAAGGCCAAGAAAGGAGAGAAGGAGAATGCAAACAATGCTATTGATAGTTTTGGTGGAGATGAGTATGCTTTCATGGCAAAGTAAGGAGCCTCCAAGGCTGCCATGTCAAAGTAGATTATAGATTCAGGTACTACCAAGCACATGATACCATATGTGTGTTCATTTGACACTTATGAAGAAATTTCAGCAACAAAAGTGTGGTTGGGAGACAATGGCATGGTACAAGCCATTGGAATTGGCTCCATTGTAGTGGAGATTGTTGTGGAGGACTAAATGAAGAGGAGCAGATTAAAAGAAGTCCTACGTGTGCCAAAAATGAAGAAGAACCTCCTTTCGATGAACAAACCTGTATCACATGGTTGTAAGGTTCAATTTGACATGAATGGATGTTTTATTAAGTCATTGGATGGCCAACATGTTGCCAACGGCCTTAGAGATGGAAATCTCTACTTCATCAATTGCAAAAAGGTGAATGGAATTGAAGTGGTGGTATTTGCTGATTTTTTACAAGATCAAGACAAGTTTGAAATTTGGCATCAACGACTCGGTCATTTGAATGTCAAATGCATGAAGGAGCTCCAATCCATGGTAAGTGGCTTAGATCTTGGTCAATTTAGCCACAATGCCATGACACTTGCTTGTGAAGGATGTATATAAGGTAAACAACAAAAAGCTTCATTTCCAAGTGGAATTGCAACACATGCAACAAAATTTTTGGAGATTGTGCACTCAGATGTTTGTGAACCAATGAAGACACCATCAATTGGAGGAGCAAGGTACTTTGTTACATTCATTGATGATTTCTCAAGAAAGGTGTGGATTTACATCATTAAAGCTAAGAGTGAATGTTTCTCAAAGTTTAAGGAATTTAAGGCTCTTGTAGAGAAATAATATGGGTATATGATCAAAGTGTTGAGAACGGACAATGGAGGTGAATACATGTCAAAGCATTTTGATGACTTCATGAAGATTCAAGGTATTACAAGACAAACCTCTACTCCTTACACTCTACAACAAAATGGAGTTGCTGAAAGAGCAAATCATACCATTGTGGAGATGGCAAGGAGTATGCTTCATACACAAAACCTTGGGCATGAATATTGGGCGAAAGCTGTGGTAAATATAGTATACACAAAGAATAGGTGCCTTACAAGTACACTTACATCAATGACTCCACAAGAAGCTTGGAGTAGAAAGAAACCTTGTGTTTCACACATGAGGATTTTTGGATGCATTGCTTATGCAAAGGTACTAGATTGTATGAGGTCCAAATTTGATGCAAAAGGTACAAAATGTGTATTTGTTGGATATTGTGAAGGTACCAAAGAATATAGGCTAATGTGTTTAGAAACCAAGAAGATCATGAAAAGTCGTGATGTAAAGTTTTTGGAGCATAAGAGTACTTTTGAGCACTTAGAAGAGTGTCCAAGTGGGAGTAAAGATGTATTTGTGGACACATCTTCAAGTTCAGCAAAGAAAAAAGAAGAAGAAGATGATGATGACAATGAAGATGGAGGAAATAGAAGTCAAGATCAAGTGCCAAAGAAGGTAAATCATAGTGTGCCTTCAATTGCTAGAACCAACAGTGAAGACAATGAAAATATTGAAGGTGATGATGATGATGAAGAATATCAACCTTTGAGTGAGAAAAGACAAGCATTGAGGAAGAAGAAGGATGGAATGCAAGAAGAAGGATCTTCTTGAAATGAAAGAAGATATCCTTTGAGAGAAAGAAAATCACGTGGTGAATGGTAGAAGGACCACATCTTTCCTCAAATAAGTGAAGAACATGCCAATATTGTACTTCTTACTGATCCGTTGAGTTTATGTGATGCAATGAAGTCTATAGATGCGTTGAAGTGGGAGAATGCTATGGAAGAAGAGTACAAATCACTCATAGACAATGGAACATGGGAATTGACTCAACTTCCACCAAATTGATCTTCAATTGGTTGTAAGTGGGTGTTTAGAACCAAAAGGAATGCAATGGGCAATATTGTGAGATACAAGTCTAGATTGGTTGCCAAAGGCTACTCACAAGTTGATGGTATAGATTTCAATGAGACATTTGCTCCTGTAGCCAAATTCACCACTATTAGAACCATTAAAGCAATTGGGGCAGCAATGGATTTGGAGATGCATCAAATAAATGTAAAGACAGCTTTCTTGAATGGAAGTTTGAAAGAAGACATCTACATGGATCAACCTCAAGGATTTGTTGAAGAAGACAAACAATACCTTGTTTGTAAGTTAAAGAAATCCTTGTATGGACTAAAGCAATCACCAAGCGTATGGTACCAACACATTGATACATTCTTTGTGAGTGAAGGATTTGTAAGGAGTGAGGTTGATCATTCCTTATATGTGATGCAATCAAATGAGTTTATATTAATTGTCATCCTCTATATTGATGATTTGATCATCTTAACCAATACATTGAAGATGATGGATTGGTTGAAGGTAAAGTTAGAAAAGGAGTATGAAATGAGTGATTTGTGAGAGCTTTACTATTGTTTAGGAGAGGAGTTTGTAAGAGATCATGCTAAGAAGACCATTACAATGAGCCAAAGCAAGTATATTGAAGAAGTATTGAAACGATTCAACATGGAGGAGTGTAAGCCTATTAGAACACCATTGGAAGTAAACTTGAAGTTGATGAAGCTCACAGATGAAGAGTTTGCTAAAGTTGAAGGTCAAATGCAAGGTGTTCCATACAAGGCAGCAGTGGGCTCACTTATATATGCAATGGTTGGCACAAGGGTGGATCTTGCATATGCGGTGAGTGTTGTGAGTCAACACATGTCAAGGGCTGGACCAATCCATTAGACAACCATCAAAAGGATCATGAGGTACTTAAAAGGTACTTTGAACTTCAAATTATGCCTTTGAAGTGATAACATTAATTTGCATGGTTATTGTGATGCGGGTTGGGCTGGACATGCAAATGATAGAAGGTCAACAACAGGCTATGTATTCTTTGTTGGAGTAGGAGGAATTTTATGGAATTGCAAGAGACAACCAACAATTGCAAGGTCAACAATGGAGGCGGAGTATATGGCAGCAAGCCATGGTGCAATGGAGGCAATATGGTTAAGACAATTTTTGGAAGACATTAGAGATGTACAAATGGAAGCAACTCCAATGGAGTGTGATAATCAAGGATGTCTTGTATTTGCAAAGAATCCAAAGCATCATTCAAGGACCAAGCACATTGACATTCAACATCACTTTATAAGAGAGAAGATTGAAATGGGAGTGATTGATATGAAGTATTGTGCAACAAAGGACATGGTTGTTAATTTATTGACAAAGGCATTAATAAAGGATAGACACCACATGTTGACAAAGGCATTAGGCTTAAAAGGCATTTGACCAATAGCAAAGTGGGAGTGTTAAAGTAAAAGTAGAAAATATTACATTATATAGGATATTATCTTAGGTAAGTTGCTAGTGGTCAAAGGTTTGACTCTTGGTATATGGTAAGGGCATCCAATAGATATAGGACAAAGTCATGGACCAAGAGTCAAAGTCAAAAGGATAAAGTATTAACAAGGGAATATCCAAAGACTAAGTATGAGTTATTAGTATGTATCATAGGATACCCTCAAAGTTCGTGAGATGCCAAAGGATCCTAAGAGCATGTGTGTAAGACATAAGAGTAATTAGTATTGGACATAGGATACTCTTAGGACTTGTGAGATGCCAGAAGGATCCTACGGCCATGTGTGTAAAAGTCAAAGAGTGGACATTGTCTTTTAGGGCAGCAACTACCTTCTATAAGTAATGGGTGTTGGAAGTGAGAGATATCTTACTCCATACTCTCTCTGTGTGCAACCTTGCTGATGCTAAGTGTTGTGTCTTCTAAGTACTTGTTTTTTTAATAATACCATCACAATATATGGAATTCTACAACAATGACATTATATGATAGAAATGGGAGATTTTGTAGTATTACTAAAGATAATAGAAAAATAAAACAAAGATAAAAAAAAATACCTCTCTTATATTGTAAGCAATAATTTTTTAAAGGCATGGAATATATAAATATTTTATAAAAAAATGAAATGTTTGAAAATATATATATATATATATATATATATATATATATATACACTCACACATAAATATACATGAATCATCATTTTTTGTTTTATATATTACAGCATTATACAATAAAAATTCATTACTTAATACAATCTAAAACTAACATATTTCATTCTGTAGAATAATGTGCATACTATTTTATTATTAATATGCTTTGTATATGATTATAAAATTATTAAATAAAAGTGGAATAATCTAATATAATATGCAATGCAATTATTAATGTAATTTTAATGTATCCATGAAAGACAATCATTGATATTGTACAATTATGCATTAATTCGCTGAGTGATAAGAATGAAGTGTTGTAAAACAACATGCATTACAATGTCCCCCCCCCTCCCAAATGTTTGCTCATATTTTTAGTTAACGTTCCTCATGGTTGAAACAACATAATCTCCTACACATCACAAAACATCCTTGCTTTGGTATACAACCCAACTGAGACTTTCAAAGAATACATGGAAGAACTGACAACTTCTTCTCCCCCAAAGACAACACATTCTCCCAAGATCATCCACATTTAGAATCATCCCCAATTTCAACATTCTACAACGTCTGCCCTCCAACTCATCCTCGCCTCCAGCAGCCTCCAAACACAAACATATTCCTTGAACATGAATATTTGCATGTTTAAACACCAAGAAACTGTGAATTCCAAGACCCAGTTTGGCCTAGATTACAGAGTTAGCACACAACCATCCAATCATACAAACAAGGGCTGAGTGGGTGGGGGTGTGTGTGTGTGTTTCCCAACCTCAGGGTGAGCAACAGTGGGTCCACAGATTCTACCCACAAAAGCATGTTTACACTGTCAATGCTTCTAAGTTTGGTCACAACTGGAGCCTCGAAGTCGGCGATCCAGCAAGCGTGGGCAAGGAAAGGCAAGGTAACACAACTCTTCGTTGAAAAACCATGCGGCGTCAAGACAAAAAAGAAGAAGAATCATGCGGTTGGGGCTTTAAGGATTGAACAGCTGAGAGTTGCAAACCTGAGCCAATCACTGGGACGCACAACTGGAACCGTGCAGACAAAGTCAGGCAACTGGGTACGTTAATAGTCACCAATCCTTTTCAGTTCCTGCAGGTGTGTGTTTCAGATGCTCACTGCGGTGCTGCAATCAGCCAACGTGTTAACTACCTCAGTGCAGCATTAAAATTCGTCGGCATGGCGATACAATCGCTTCACACATGTGGATCCCATCCTTTTGTCAGCGTATGTTGGGGAGATTCTTACGGGGGAGGCTGCAGAATCTCCGTGGATTGGTGAGGAGAACTATGTTTGAGAGGATTAGTCCGGGGTGTGTTTCATGTTGAAGCACCCCATGTGCAGAACACGTGTATTTGGGGAATTTAGGAAGATCGCTTGCCCAGCTTCAACTGAGTGTCCCAGACTACGGCACTTTTTCTTTCGTTATCACCGCAGTCTCCGTGCACGTTATGGTGAAGCCGTGCTACGCTACTCTGGATTGATGTGAGGCTGCAACCACAACGCCACTGATGATGGCGCTAGTGACATCAACGGAGAGAGCCGTATGGTTTTATTCGACGTTGCCAGAGGGGTTTACAGGTTCTTGCAGGCTGCAGAACAGATCTTGGTCTGCACGTGACCTCGGACGTTGTGAAGGGAATGGAAATAGACTCATGAGAGTGTTGGTTTTTTTCGTGGTAGAGAGTTGCGGAGGTAGGCGGAGTAAAAGTCACTAGATCTTTCTGCGAACAACAGCATTTCTCTTTTACTGCAGCAGATTGGTAGACTCCCTGCACGCTACTCATCTCCAGGCCGCGTTAATAACCCAGTTTTCAGTGCTGCTGTTGTCATATCACAAATTGACTTCAGCAACCAATCAGCGGTAACTTTATACATCATTTTCATTGTCGTCTTGGGTGTTTGGTATTAAGCGGAGGTTTGGTGTGTGAGGCTCTGAATCTCTTAAGGGATCGTCTTGGAGGGTAAGCGCGAGGTTGGGGTATCCTGGGGGTTGGTCAGTACAGCAGTGATCTTTGAAGCAAGTAGGTTTCTGGTTCTGTGGGGTTGTTTGGTGTTGGGTCGTCGCTTTCTTTGCGTCGCGTGGGTGATCAGTATGCATAGGGTTGGTTTTTCGTTGTTGTGATGCTTGGTCATGTCGGTTTATGAACTGTGCGGTGGATGTTGTTCGGGTCTTGGAAAGGGGTTTTTGAATTGCTGCAACAGTGGCGATGGGAGTCAGGTCGTGATTTGAAATGCGAGATAGGTGATCAATTTATGTTGTTGAGAGTTTACTTATTCGGGAAAGCAGAGGCAAAGTTTGCAACCGGGAAAGAGGACATAATGGCGAGCGAGGATGTGAAGACGTCACATGACAAACAGATGTGGATTAAGTATTACTGCGAGGAGTGCGAAACGTGGGAGACGAGGGAGATGTTCGAGGTCACGAAATTAAGCGTCGCTCAAGCAACGCCAGCTGGTGCATGTGCATTGTGGTCTTGGGGCTGCTCCAAGCTCGTCCGCCACGGCTCCTTTCAGACCTTCCGAGTGGACCAACTCAACAATGCAGATGGGCACGACGTACCCAATCTTGACTTCCCCAGCATCGAGTCTCCGGCAACCACTCGACCCTTTCGTGAGGTAATTTTACAACTGAAACTTTGTGATACCTTTGTGGTTACTTTAATCAATCAAACTAGGATCATTGACGAATTACTCGTCCCTTGCATTTCAGTACACTTCAGAATCGTTTTATGGGAAGGTTTTTGTAAACACATCTTGGCACTAATAGAGATTGGCATTCCGAAGTCTGCTTAGCTGCAATGACTTGATTAGGAAATAAACTGCGCAGCTTCCATGCATGCAACACAGAACACAGGGCAATTGCGTCTGATTTGACGTTTCTTTCAGAGTGATAAAGTTTGCGCAAAAACCTTTAGAAATATATGGAGTGTGCCATTTGCCAAAATTCATACAGAGTAACCAATATTTATCCGCATCATACCTCAGTTTGTAGGTTGAGGCTGGTAGCATGCTCTACATACCCATTAAGCGGTGCGGGGTGCGAAGGTATCATATGTCGGCACGTTGTATCACAATTTGTGAAAAAAGCATATTCTGATTCAAGAGATAATGTATTGTTAAAGATCTTGCTTCAGCGTTCTTATCTATGACAACCTTCCGCTTTGAATCCAGAAAACGCGTCCGAGGAACACCGATGCAGCTGAAGAAGTAAGCCCACCGCAGACAGTACCTTCTGCGCAGTCCAATGGGTCATCCCAAAGCAAGCGCCCCAAGCGGAATGTGAGCTCTACCTACGCGCGTGATTTAGCAACAGGAACCAATTCGCCTATCAACTCTCAAGGGGGCGTAACCTCTTCTTCACCAGATGAGGTGCAAGATGAGAATAGGTCTAAAGATAGTGAAATTGCTGCTGATACTGCTGGTCCTGAAAGCCCAGGTGTGATAGATGCGGAACATCTTGACGGTAAGTTTAACTATCGAAATTCTCAATAATCCTGAATCTGCTGGCATTTTCATGCGAGTTTCTGCTGCCTTCGAGCATATATTTGGTACTTGCAGACCCAAATGTCAGGCAAGACAACCAATATCTCTCAAATAGTCCAGTTTGAGAACTTCATCTGAAATGATTATATGAATCACACTTGGGACACACAGCTGATGTGCTTTCAATAAATAATAGTCACTATCTACTCTTTATAACAATTAGATTTGGAAGTGACATCATATTTTTTGAAGCTGTGTGAGTGCGTAGGATTGAGAAACCAAAAAAATTTGTTGACTAATTTGGACATGTTCGTTGTCGATGAAAACAGATAAAATTCAGAAGAGGCCTAAAAGGTTAACCGCTGGAGACCGAGGCCTTGCGCAAGCACTACAGTATGAGAAGCCAGCACGAGTAACCACAAAATCTCTGGCTGAGGTAAATAATGTGAAGCCATCTCAGCCTTCACTCGCTACGATGAAAAGGCCGAAACGTGTGACAGCTGGTCTTCGAGGGTTACTCCTGTCTAAAGAGAATGCTAGACCATTGCCGAGGGTAAGACGTGTACTAAAGAGATTTGGTCTCTTACAGTTTATCTCTCACGCAGGGATGTCCTGGTTTTTTCGTCAATGCATGTGGTTCCCCTGGCTGAGGTTAAGTGAAGACTTCTATCTGAATTATTCTTTCCTTTCCATAGAATAAGATTTGTTACAACTGTCATTAGGAATTTATTCAATAGGTTTGAGGTGATTTTCTTTTCGTGTGCAGATTCTCTCAAAAAAGGTGGACAAGAAGGAGGAGGTGCACGGTGTGCGTACCAGGTCATCTGCAATTGCAAAAAAAACATTTAAGAACAGGAGACTTGGTGACCTTTACTAGCTCTTCCTCCGATAAGGTAGAAACCGATCTCCTTGCAAATTATTAGATTCCTTCTTTCATTATCACGTGTAGATTGATCTGTGGTGGCGGTTCTCCATACAGCAAGTCAAACGTCGAAGGATGAAAAGTCTAAGGAAATGGATTCTCAATACCCGGAATTTAGGAGGGACCACTCATAGCCACATATCTTAGCTTGGTTGCGGGGTCGTACTTTCACCTTCGGTAATTCTGTGAAAGCGTGGAGGTAGTTGTGGAGACTGCTGTTTCACAGAGTGTTCATAGGCCTCCTTTCTTTTGAGAACATGCAGCTTATTAGGTGATTGATGCTAAAAGTCAAAAGGAAAGACAATGTATACAGAAGACAACGATGACCACCAAGGATAGGGTGTTCATAAAATTTCATACTTAGATCTCATGTTTTGAGCTGTTGAGTTAAATCATGTTGGATTAGAAGTGCATATCTCTGGCCATCTTAAACAATGTGAAATGCATTGGACATTTATGGATGTAGCTAAATGAGGAAAACCTGCACAACTGCACGTTATCTGGAACTGTAGGCAGGAAACTTTCACTGCTCTCCAATATTAATTGTAACTCTTCAAAATAATATTTTTAGAATAGAGTTTTATGAATGTATCATGTTAACTCAATCCTTAATCGTCCAAATGATAGATGATGTAATCTCGAAATTAGGTGAATGATAGGACTTAAAAAGTAAGGTGCAATCTTGGAATCAAGTCACTTTGGAGATACAGATAAGATTTTTGTTGAGTTTGAGTGAATATTAAATATTTAGCATGTAAATGTATATATTTAATGTGCTTAGCCTCTAAAACATCTACAATTTTGTTATGATAAAAAAAAAAAAAAAAAAAAAAAAAAAACCTTAAAAAAACATAAAAAAACATAAAAAAAACATAAAAAAGCGTAGTAAATAACCAAGCATAATAATAAAAGTTTCATATTTTTGTATACTACTAAAAACATTGCTTCAATTTACGTGCTTATATTGCAATCCTCTTGCACCTGCGTTGTTTCAAAATAAAATCTATATATATATATATATATATATACACTAATAATAAAATTAAATACTCTTAAGAAAATTATAACTACTAAAATTTGAATTTTGATATGAAAACATGTTTCAGTTCACTTGAACAATATTTCAACAGACAGTGGATAGTTAATTCCAATCCCTTCTTCCACCCTGATTCCAAGTGTGCATATGAATATTCAGTGCTTTGTCACCATTTTCATTTTGTCACCATTTTCATTTTGTCACGGTGGTCTGCGTGCTTTGAAAACGCGGTTCTGGGTTCCAACCCCACTCCCCAGCATTTTCAGTACACAGCAACTACCGTCGTATCGTTTAGAAATGTCGGTGCTGCAAATAGGTGTCTTGTGAACAGGTTGCAGTTTCCCATTATTGATCATAATTTGATGCTGAAGCCAGATTTAACAAGAGATTCCCTTCTGTCTAAATTAAACCTAAACAATAGAGCGTGCTACTTTCATGAATACCAAATATTTCCATAAGTGAAGAATAATGTAATTACTGTGTGATTTGCATTGTAAGTGGTTTCTTCTTTTGCATGGAGTTGGAAATTTGAGTGTGGACCAAATCTGGTGATCGGAAGGCATGGATTTCCTTTGTAGAACAGTCTCCTGAATGAGGCTATGGACAATGAGCCATACACAACAATCCACAACTGCAGCTTCACTGGAAAAATCACTAGCGAGAGAAAGAGTGAGAGAGAATTATACAAACTTTATATAATCACATAACAATAATCTGTGGATTGAACCCCTCCAAATTAATACAATACCTACACTAAACCTGCAGCTATCTACACAATCTTCAACCTTGACGATAAGGCTTACTTCACAAAGATATCGTGCCCGCCTTGTCAATTATCAACAGGAAGTAGTCAGAACTCTATCTACATAGCTACCATAAAACCGAATTGATGTGTGATCAAAAATAAATAAATAAATAAATAAAATCTACTTAAAAGAAAAGATTACACCAGTGCAGCCATTCCGATGTCGCTATAGGTAACTTCCTAAATTTATAAAATTCTAAGAATGGGGACCTTACAGGATCCTATGATTTTTGGCTTTGTGGATACCTTTGCTGCACTAATGGGCGTAGCACAAATAGATATCTATCCACGCAGTAGAAGTATAGGCACTCCAGCGCTTAAAGCTCTTTCTTCGGCTCCTCAACTGCGCTCGTTTGAGTCTCCTTGGACGATTCGGTTGTGGCAGGTATCAATCCGATCCAGAGAATAGGCAGCAAGGCACAGGAGGCACTGATGAAGATACCCAAAGGCAACCCGGAGAAATCCGTCCCAGATATGTTGAGGTATGTCGACAATGCAACACCGAGATAACCATTTAAGAGGCCTGCCAGACATGATGCTGCCGTGAAGAAGGCGAACACAGAGGCTTCACTGCCGGACGGACACAGCTGGGCCAACAGCACCATGAATGGCAGGCTCTTGAACTGTCCTATAGCTTCCACAAACGCTGAAGCTCCAAGCACAAACCACTTGTCAGGAACACCGAGCTCCAGGTTGATACGCTTCACAATGACTATGTCGGTGAGCATGCAAAGTGAGAGGAGGATCTGGACAATGGTAAACAGCCGCCGAACAGGCACACCCTTGAGAGCCTTGTTGTAGAGCATGCTGCCGAAGATCAAGCCAACTTGACCCACCAGCCTGGCAAGCCCCAGCACGGAAGCATTCAAACCCAAGTGCTCCGTGTGGAAGAAGAACATTGAGCTTCCGAGGCCTGGTATGAAACCGAACGATGAGAGGAACCACAGGAGGGGCCTGTGGAGTGCGGGCTTCTGGAGGGCGGCTTTCAGCTTTGTGAGCTGTTCCCACATTGCTGAGGAAACGTCCTTCTGTGCTGGGGATTGTTTGAGCTTTGGATTGTCATCGGTGCCCTTCTCCGCAGGTCGTAAGCCAAATGAGTGCTCACTTACAGAGAAGGTCAAAAACACCTGAATTGTGAGAAGAGATATGAAGATCTGTACCATGGCTTTCGGGGTGAGCATCTTCATAGCATACCCGGCGGTCAAGTTCCCCACCACTCCACCGAATGCCATTGCTAGCCAGACAAAGGACTGCAGCTCACCTGAATCAGTTACACAGAAGAGCTCACTCATTAGCACACAAGAGACGAGAACAGGAATAATTGGTTGTTGATGTTGAATGTTTAAAGCCGGACGTGGAATTGCCGTAAGTCATGGGGATGGAATTGAATATATCAACTTCCAAGACTCAGAATCCCTCAAAACGTGTTTACTACTTGCAATACTCCAAAACTTAATACAATTAAACGTATAAAATGAAGGACGCACTATCGATCTTCTGGTGACGAATAGAAGGTTCTGTGGAAATACCTTGCTGGGCACCCGCTTTGTTCTTCCCAGCTTCGGCAACCATGGCATCTTGCACAACCTCCGATATGGCACCACCTAAGTTTGTGATAGTGAGGAATGCTGTCAACATGCTAGCCGTTGACGACACCCCCGAGAACGTGGCTATTATGGTCCAAGCAAACAATTGAAGCCCCCCTGTGTGACATCAAACAGAAAAGGGGTGATGACTCAGCCAACTCGCACGAAGATTAGCAGCAATGGTCTGCATGCTGTGGCACCTCATTGTCTCCATGTTGCAGAATTTTCAAGTCTCTAAATTTTTGCAAATGGACGTTGGGAAGGAAACTGGTAAGTCTTTGCACGTGACACTCAATTTGAATGCATTTGGAGATATATTCATAACTAGTGATCTTACCTGCAAGAATGAGATACGGAAGACGATGCGCGCCTTTAATGTACACAGAGTCGGAAATAATGCCGTAGACGGGCTTGGCAACCATGGGAAGCATAGTCGTTGACATTAAAAATTGCATTGTGCCAGGGTCAACCTGTGTCGTTATAAAAATGTCCCAAAGTAGCCCTTCAGGATGCTTCCTGTAGTGAATAGAAGCTTCCTCTACGAACAGTCATGAATCGCAAGAGCACGGGAATACTCATGCAATGGAATTCAATGAGAAAATTGAACGACTCACCTTCAAATTGTCCTTGTACCAGTAAGTCATGGCCATCCAAGGGAAACTTCTGAAGGACTGCAAGAAGTAGCATAATGACACCAAGGACATGAAAGTGCCTCCATAGATTTTCCTTAGTCGGCCGATGGTACCCATGGCTTCTGCTTCAAAAGCCCCCTGTACACACTCTTCGACCTCACCGTCGTCGTCGTCTAGAATCTGAACAAACGATTTTCCCGCGGTCATCTTTTCGTGCTCAGTTTCATGAACTGGTATGGAAGCAGAAAAACATGAAATCAAGAGAATAGATCACAGCATTTATCAAGTCCCTTCAAAGACACACAACGAATTGCCGACCACATAACCTTCACAAGGAAAGTAGCCACTCTAATTTGCGCACAGGAGTATTGACAATTGAAAACTACGACAGACAGAAAAACTTCCTACCAGCTCGTAACTAGGCAAAATGACGGTCCGAGGATAAGTTCATGGCTCTCCATCTCTCGCCATTTTTGAATTCCCCGCAACGCAGTGCTCAGTCAAACCCACAGCCCTCACTTCCACTCCAAGCAACACAATTAGATTAATGCTTGACGAGCAAGCTGCGAAATCGATCACACCCCAACTACCCCGCTCGCGGTTCAACACCTACAATCTCAAAGTCTTCATGTACTGCACACATCAGCTTTCACTGTCACAGTCTCCCTCGATTGCTCTAAATACTCAGTTACCTGCTTCACTTACAACGAAAAGCCGCTTCTTCGGTTCAATCTCAGTCGAAAGTTCCCGATTGAACTGTAAAAGCACCTGCCGGCGAGGCCGATCAGTCTCCTACCACAGAGCTAATATTTTCCAGAATTCTTATGGACCCTGGTTTCCCATTTGAGGCGAAAAACATGTGACGGAATACGGTAATAGGGGCCCTCACAAGATGTGCGAGGAAACATGCAGAGCTTCTGAATTTCAGTTTAATGTTTATTACAAAGAACTAAATATGGGGTCGACATATCTACTTAGATGATGCTGAAGAAGAAAAAAAAAGAAGAAGATCGTCGTAACACGCTAAAAGTACCCAATTAAAATTGTGATTTTTATATTTATATTCGTGGTGGTAGAAACTTCGACTTTTTGAGGCGTATCGTGCGGTAGGGCCCGAGAGCGTGGGGTCAGAGGGCGACAAGTGTTGAAGTTGTCACCGCCACATGTGAGTCTCTTTACTCCTTTCTCCCTGCACTGTTTCTGGAATCTTCCCGCTCGATTCCTGTCGACGGACTGTGGCGCTGAGGGGGCCGCACTGGAACTGCTGAAAATCATCGACCGAGGAGGGTTGCAATCGGGGCTGGATTCGAGGCCTTGGATTCCAGGCGATCACGGTCCGGAGAAGGACGCAGGCCTGAGACTGGGAGATCCAGTGTGCCAAGGCTGAACAGAAGCTTCAAGTATCACCAAAGTTGTAGATGGGATTAATGTTTCTGTGAATGCATCGCTGCCATCTGGTTTAAAGGGCCACGGAGGGTCACCAAAACATGGTGCAGTTGCTGGTTTCTCGAATAGACTGGATTGGATAATGTCGATATCGATGTTGCGACCACACCGACTGCGGTCGGAGTTGCGGTCACAATTCGGTTGGAGACGATGAACGGCAATCTTTGTCTGTGTGAATAAAGAGAATTAACTGGAGCTATGATATCTTCTTCATATCGGACGTATGAACGCAAGAAGTTAACTTCTTGAATGTGTATATCTGAATGTGGGGTATGTACGTGTTAATACCTATGTAGTACTCTGGTGTCTCAAAATTGTGAGCAAATTGTAAGACCCGGCGGAGGTCTACCACCGTCCACTCGAAGGGTATCAGTCCATATCCAGACCAGGGCATCGGCCGTCTGCCGAGCCTTGCAAAACCTTCACAACGGGATCGTTTGCGCAGAACTGGATTTACAAACGACGAACCGAGCTTTGAGATTTGTTCATCTCTTTGTAATCAGGGCATTTACGAGTGCTACAAGCCTTGCTGGTAAATCTCTTGGGCTAGTTTTATGCAGAGAACAGTTTCTTAGTTCTTTGCTCGACGTGGCGGCTCAGAACTTGCGAGGAAGCTTTGTTGTTTTTGCGAAATAATGCGTAGTGTTCTGTGCCATTGGATGAATTGGTAGAGTTTTAGATTTGGTGTGTTGAAGTGAATTTCCTTTCGGTTGATGGTTTTCTTCTACTGGATTTCGATTTACAGGCTTTTGAGCTCAGTTGCGGGAAGTGATGTGTTGTGCAGAAGGTGAATCAAATGCGGAGCGGTGAAGTGTGAATTTAGGAATCAAGGTAGTGGCCGAGAGTCGATGCAGCGGAGTGGATTGGGGTGGAACAAGAGGTGCAGGAGGGCGTAGCTCAGAAGTTGCTAGGTGTGTTACCAGCGGTGGTGTGGTGTAGAGGAACCCTAATCTGAGCGTGTTCCGATCACAAGAATTTTGTGAACATGGAAGATCCTCCGCCTTATGAGGAAGTATCGCACTGCAGGGTGTGCAATTGCCAATTCACTATGCTCAAGCGCCGGGTGAGATTGCACCCTCATTTCGACCGATGGATGGGTTTATTATGCATTAAACTTGGATCCTTTTCGATTTCACATTGTCTCCATTTTTTAGTAGATTTTATGAAGGAAATTCCAATCTAGCTACATGTAGAACGTCTTGTAAAGTTGACCATTTCCTAAGAGCTCTTTTCTCTGTTGTACTATGATCGAATTATTTTTTCCAGTACCTCATTCGATTTAATCATCCGACCTGATTTTCCTTCTTGTACTGTTCAACTTATTGAAATCAAGAGTTACCAAAGTTATTATCTTCATCAGGAATGGATAAAAACTGACTTCAGTCTTGTATTCACAGCATCATTGCCGTGCCTGTGGGAGAAGCCTCTGCAAAGAACATTCCTCAAACCAAAAGGTAGGTCAACTAATTTGGGTGCAGGAGTGTGGACATGTTAATGTCTGAAGTTTTGCTATCATTACGAGATAAAGCGGTTTTCATTCTGACACCCTGGTGTGACCTACTGTTAACATTGGGAATCTTAGGCTCTTCCTCAATTTGGAATCTACACTCCTGTACGAGTTTGCGATGACTGCCTCAAACCTCCCAAGTATGTGCTCAAGTGCCTGGGTGTTACATACATGCGTTATTTTTATGCCAGTTGAACGTCAGTTTTGTTACCACTTATGGTAAGAATCGTCTAGAGAATGTACTGTGATGAGCTGGTTTGAGACAGTTGGTAGACACTTTCTTAGGAACTCCTAAACAAACATGAAAATCTGTATGGCTTTAGAGCTTGAGTTGGTATTTGCAATGTAGGATTGCTATTCCATATGAAAGCTACTGGTTACATTTTTTTCTAGAATTTTATCCGAATTATGTCACTTTCTCAGGTTTGGACATTTTAGACTCTAGCTTAGCTTTGTCTACTGTTTTTGCTCATCAGGCCTAAAGCGAGGTCAGTCACAACCAAAAAAGTTGAGGAACCTGTGGAAAAGACAAGTGCATCGTTTAGTAAAATGAATCTTTCTTCGGCTGGTCGGGAAGAGGATGACGTTGCTCCTGCTCCACCTCCAACTCCAGCTTTTAAGTGTGTTTGCGGTATGCCGTTGTGTATATGCGAAGCTCCTGCTCCTACTCCAGCTCCCGCACCAGAGGTATTCCTAACTTTTTGTGCTAGCTACAATAATGTATCTGCTATAAAGCATGAAGGGACATTCGGGTTTGGACCCTGCTATATATTGGAGAGAAATTCAACTCGTTTGGGTACGTTTTAGGTGGTTCATACTCATCCGTTTATTTGCCAGTTGTAATTATTTCTTTCGAGCTTTTTAATTGATGTGATATTATGTTTATGTTTTTTTCTAGCTGCGTTCACCCTCACCATCTCCCGCCACGCAACAAGTGAGGTTAAAGAGGCCATCCCCAGCTCCCGCGAAGACATCTTCTCTTGCGAGAACCTCCTCCTATGGAAACACTATGCCCAGGTATGCTGTACCACAATATGAACATAAAATTTATAGCTGATATATTTCATCTTGTGAATGTCCTCTGGTCTGTTTCATACAAAACAGAGGAAGTGCTTTGTCGACCAAGTTATTCAATATGGGACGTCGTTGTGGGTTACCTTGTAGTTAATTATGCTTTTGGGATATCACGGCTGGTTTAAGTTCTATCGACATTGGGCTTATCCCTTGTATCATTTCCAAAAAGTCTAACCATGCCGTGTGTGTTACAATGCAGTTTGTTTTTCCAAAATGGAAATTCTTCACAAGGAAGCAGTCGTTCTGCCTCTAAGTTGTACGAGCCTAATGGGGAGGTACTTCTTGTTGCGTTGTATGTAAATATGGAATTCGTCTTTCCATATATTAATTTTATAGTACAGCCAGTGATGGTTGAATATTGGGTTGCTAAGCCAGAATTTTTTCCAGAGCTCAATGTAAGATGTTTGTTGTTAAGTCTGCTTTCACGAAACGGTATGCTTGCTCTGCAGCTAGTTGGTTGTGGTCATGTGCAAGAAGCCCCTTGGATTTTGCTTTGCTGTTTTTTCCTCCAGCATCGGGCTGCTTCATGAGTTGTAGCTTTGGCATTGGCATACAGGGATTGAGGGAGGCCGTTATGGCTGCAGATATTGCTGCAGTCAAAGATTTACTAGCCCGGGTTGGTGTTTTATGCTTGGATTTCATAAATAATCGATTCCGAAATGTTACAGTTCACCCTTTTTCCTTCTTTTTAATTCTTTCCTACTTAAAAATTATACTTTTCTAGCAGCACATTGTAGTTCCTAAGATGGGATTTGGGATAGCTAGCCTGCAGTGTCTAATCGTTGCCCCTGGATGAATCTTTGAAATCATATTTCAACTCGGATTAAACCAAAAAGTTTTATATTTGTTCTTGTGCACTGCATTTATTTTTGCAGGGCCTTAACCCTAACCATGTTGATAAACAAGGGATGTCTTTGCTTCACTTGGTAGTAACCTCAACTTATGCTCTTTGATGTGTATATGCAATTTGTTATTATCGTTAAGTGGTACAAAATTTCTCTCTTATGGGTATTGCAGTGTTGAGCGTATGCCGTTGTCTATGTTTATGAGTGCAGAAGCAGTTTATATCTTATTTTCAATGTCATGAATATTGAAAATCAATCCCTCTCATGCCGATCTTTTCTTGTGTACAATCTGCAGGCTGCAATGTTCAACTTCACTGAGATCACGTTTATGCTGATGGATGCTGGTGCCAATGTTTCTGCTAAAAATTCGCAAGGTGATAAAATAGTTGTAAACGTTATTATGCAGAGTCAATCTTATTTGTGCAATGTAGTCTCTAATGTTGGTAACTGTTATGGTGTACTGAAGAGTTTATCACGTTATGTCGGCGAAACCATCTCATGTCTCTTACTGTCCTGGGAAGGTATTCAATCCACCATGCCCCTTTCTATTGTACAGGAGGTACTAACTGAACGACGTGATTACAGGAGAGAGCCCTGTAGACTGTGCTCAAACTACCTTGAGTTACAAAATGCGACAGCGGATTGAAGCTGCTAGTCTGAGCTAAAACTTGGTGCTCAATATCAAAGGCACCAGTGTGCTTACGAAGCGCTTCGTAGAAAGATGGAGCTGCCATTCTCTTGTTTTGGTTGTAAAATGGGACCTTCTATCGAGACTGATGGTTTCTTCTGGAGGAGCATTTGCCGGCACTGCCTTGTCAAAAGACATTGCGGGGATTTCTGGAGTGATGCCCGGCGTCTGGTTGCTTGGTTATGTTAGTTTCAATCGAGGAAAATATATTGTTATCCAATACTCATGCAAGACTTCAGACTCTTACAGTACTGAAAAGACTTTTATTTTATGTTATGAAGATTGAAAGGCGACATTCTTAATTTGCCTGTGTCCTTGCCATGAACACGGATTCTTATGATTTCTACAATTTGCAAAGATATTTGCTGTTGTTGAGAGGTCTTCTTGATTTCTCATCACCCAATTTGATGCATAGTCCTTAAGGTATCTATGGTGTTTTTGTTTGTTTGTTTTCTTTTTTTTCTTTTTCTTGTTATCTTTTCCCCTTAACTTTCAAATCGCCTGAAAGCTGTGTGTCCTCCTCATTTGAGTTGCAGTTCCGACTTCGCAATAAGGTCGCTGATGTGCATGACACGAGGACTTATAATCGTGGTACCACGTACACTATCTGTAAGGTGTTCAGATGAGAAACGTGCGACTTCGTACATGTGGGCCCCGGTTTTCCGATCATTCTGCGGTTGGATATTTATTCGTTAACGAATTTCCTGCAGTATGGTGGAAAGAAATATATTCAACGCTTCGAAATTAGATCCAATGATGCCCAGTCTACCATTCGCTACCATACTTGTCGCCTTGATTCTCCAGTAGAGCCGTGGCACCATAATACTAAACAAGAATCTTTTGTCAAAGTTACGAACGTCGTCGTAGTCCCTACCTACTACCACCTCCACCATCTCCTTATTCGGATGCCGTGTGCCTCACAACATGGGTCTAGAGCTTAATATGTGTGCTCTGTGGTTTAACATGGTTTAATGGGGTTTAAGGTTCTAATTATCTCAATAAATTTTATGCAACCTGTGCAGTGATTAGATTACAACACAACAAACTCCATGGAAAAAACAAAACAATCAGGTTCAAAACAGATTGAGAAATGTTGCAAGACTTGCTCATTGCAAAGAAGCCAAAACCCATCCACAAAGCCTTCTACAGCATCATCATAGCGAGTTCTGCACCCAGAACAGTATCAAATCTGATGAAGTCAAATGAGGCTAGAACTTCATCTTTTGCTACGATGCCTGCTTCATGTATTTTCACATGAAGCATGTCACACTAGGTTAGGTTTTCAAAGCTGGTATACTGGCATTTTACTCCACCTAGTTTTTATTGCAAGGAATTCTCGCACCCTACACCGTTTGTTGTTGCTATAAATAGCCGCTCTTATTCTCTGACATCCCTTACTCAGACAATGTGCCTTCCACTTGGCAGCTGTATAGCGTGCCACAGCTCGATTTTGACACGTCGAAATCTTGAATAACTTGCACAAAGAAGCTGGTGCAGCGCTTCTCAATTCGACGACTTGATGTGTAAGGCGTGAGGAATCCAACTATCGCGAAGCTCGACCACCTGAATTATTATCCAGATTTGGCAGTAAGCAGCAGCTCACATCTGGCCTGGAAGCGCTAGTGAAACCTCGAAAAGGATGAGCTCTAAACAAGTCTACTCTCAGAACATTGGTTACATGTGGATGTCCGTTTGGAAGGATGAGGTTAGTGTTGTGGAGTTGGTAGCATTGTGGGTTGGAAGGATGAGGTTGGTATTCTGGAGTTGGTAGCATTGTGTGTTTGGAAGGATGCAGTTAGTGTTCTGGAGTTGGTAGCATTATGGGTTTGGTGTCTGATCGAGTGTGCCTGTGTGGACTGATTTTAAAACTTGCACATCGAGGTTTCCACCTTTGAAAATGTAGTTTGGGATGGCTTGGTTCTTGACGTGAGTAGGTCTCCATTATGTTGTTTTGAATCGTTCTAATAATTTCTGCATATAAATTTTCTTGTTCGTGTGTGTTCGTTCCCTGAATTTGGGCAGGAGTTTGAATTCCCAGCAGGTTTCGTGAATTGGTCAGGTTGACCTGGGTTCTCAACGGGTGGGTAGTTTACGTTGCTCAGCGGATTCGGTGGATAGATCTTACTTAAAGAAGAGGAGCTTTGTGGCCGCTCAATAGAACTGGTTATAAATGATCGAGGACCAATTGCGTGACTTCGGTATGTCGTGTAGGCTAGGAAGCGGGAGAAATTTCTGAACGACGGTGATCTTTGAGCTCCAGTTTCTAAGTGAGAAAATTTTGAGAAGGTGCTTCAATTTAGTTCTGGAAGAGATTTTCACACGCAGACAGATAGCCGTAGAATTTACAGAATGGAGATGGCCAAGGGAATGGCCAGGTGGTTAACAAAACAATCGGGATCCATGGACCGCACAACTCCTGCCCCGCCTCCCGGCATCGTCTCAAACTCCTCGCATTACTCTCCAAGCAATTCTTTCCAGGATGAGTCATCGAGAGGAAGTTTTCAGCACTCTGGACCTTATACTGATCAACCATACCCACCCAGTCCACAACCCTCGCCTTATGTTGTGTCTCCTTCACAACCTCCTCCGTCTTTTTACAAATCCTCTGCGCACGAATCTTCTCAAGAAAAATCCATGTACCCACCACCACATGGGGCTTACACGCCAAATGCTCCGCCCCAAATGGGCTCCTCTGCTCATGGCTTCGGTCCTTCTTACGAGCAAGTTGCTGATGCATCTGTTCCGTATCCTCCCCAACAATATGGAGTCGGACCGCACTCTGGTGAGTTTCGGTATCTGTACACACTTGCATTTGGAATTGTGCGATCCTCGAAGTCATCAAAACTAGAATTAAGTGGAATTTGTAGCGTCAAGGTTAGCTCATCTTCCTTAAGTTTTCCGCCTCGTCTGGGTTTACACTGTGGAGAGCAACTAGGCTGGTTATAATACTCGATGGATGACTCACGAAGGAAGAATCGATTGAATCAGTCTCAATCACACGTGAGGAGCAAGATCTGTTCAAGGACAGCATAGAGATTTTTCGGCGACTTTTGCTGTGTGTAATTAGTGGTTTGTGAACGTCCAGGCCGCAATACAGATTCAAATGGATTGGCCCGCTTATCTATGGATGCAACTCAGGTCCACAGCGGTCCAACAACAAGCTACCTGCTGCACGGATCCCTCGAGGTCACAATCTTCGAGGCCGTGAACTTGCCAAACATGGACATGTTCTCTGAGAAAGTCCGCCGGTTTGCTCACAACAACTTGCCCAGTTCCCTTGAAAAACTCAAGAAAACAGCGCATCTGCATGGTCCGAGTACTGTCATCACCAGCGACCCTTACACGGTAGTGGTGCTCGCTGGTGCAAGGGTAGCTCGCACTCGAGTGATAAACAACGACTCGAACCCTAAGTGGAATGAGCACTTTCTTGTCCCAGTTGCGCACCAAATCTGCAATATTGTTTTTGTTGTTAAGGACCAGGATGTGATGGGTTCAGAGTACATCGGAGAGGTCAGAATTCCTGCCTGGTTGGTGATCAACGGCGGCGTCGTCAATGATTGGTTCGATCTACTCGACAAAGAAGGCAAGCCTTGCCATGAGGGCACTAGACTCCGCATCTTCACACGGTACATTCCCGTTGAGGCAAACCCGATCTACACTCAGGGGGCGGGAGGCACATATGGGGTGCCCAACACTTATTTTCCTCTGAGAAAAGGATGCCGAGTGACGCTCTACCAGGACGCCCACGTCTACGATAACTCTCTGTCAAACATTATGCTTGATAGTGGGATGCATTATTCCCATGGACATTGTTGGGAAGACATTTGTACCGCCATCAACGATGCTCGGCACTTGGTGTACATAGCCGGATGGTCAGTATACCACAAGATTACTCTGGTGCGTGATGAAAACCGTCCGCTGTCGGAATTGAGTAATTTGACGTTAGGGGAGCTGTTGAAGAAGAAAGCAAGCCAGAAGGTGCGAGTGTTGATGTTGGTTTGGGATGACAAATCTTCCCACGACCTTCCTTTTCTCAAAACGGTAACAAGATTCTCAGCACTCAATACAAGGTCTTTGGAAGCGTATTTCCACATACTCCCGTTTGCACAGGTAGTATTTGTGAATATTTGTTTTTAGTTTGCGTAGTGCTTACTACATCCATTGTGGTGTTCGTTCAGAGCGGTCTTATGAATACACACGACGAAGAAACCAAGAGGTTTTTCAAGGATACAGGAGTGAGGTGTATTTTAGCTCCTCGATATGGTGCAAGCAAAACGACTTGGTTCCGGCAACGGGTATGTACTGGAGCTTCCTTGTAATGTTCAATTGCTACTGTTGGAACTAAAAGAAACTGGGCTTTGGTGAATATGACTGGTGGCTGCTCGTCTTAGCATTTTTGTGGCAAAATTAAGGAAGAAAAGTGTTCACGTGGACCATAGACTCATGAATGATGAAATGGTTGTTGCTGAATTGATTTTGAGGTTCCAGGTGGTTGGATCACTATACTCGCATCACCAGAAGACCGTCATTGTTGATAGTGGACCAAATGAACAAAGGAGATTGACCTCTTTTATTGGAGGTCTGGACCTGACAGGAGGGCGATGGGATACGCCTTGTCATTACCCTTTTGCGTCATTAGAGAAGGAGCATAAGCACGACTTTCGCCAAAAGTCTTGGGCGGTGAGCGTGTTTTGTTTTTGAAAACTGTGAATCAGTTCTACATGTTTCGAAAAAGGTTATGCAAGCAATTTATTTCATTGAATTCTACTTTCTGATTTGAAATTTAAGATGCTTCCAAATTTCTCTTGCAACAGCATGGACACATTGAAAGTGGTGGTCCCAGAGAACCTTGGCATGACTGGCATTGCAAAATTGAAGGTCATGCCGCCTATGATGTTCTTACCAATTTTGAGCAGCGGTGGAGAAAAGCCACTACAAGACATGATGAAGAGTTAATAGACTTTGACAAACATGATGGACTTTTTAGTCCCTTAAATCGAACTCCTGATGCTGGTGATCCTGCCCTTTTTGTGAGCAGTGATCAGGACCCGGAAACATGGCATGTGCAGGTAATTTTACCACCTGCTTTGCGGGTTGGAATTACAATGTGACAATTTCTCATTGAATGTGGTAATTAACCATGGAGAAGAGATGGTAGCTTGAGTGAATTGTTTTCTCCTGGATGTAAAGCTCTTTCTATATAATGCATACTAAGATACTAATGTAACGAGTGATTGTTGCTTTGGCAGTTATTTAGGTCTATCGACGCAGGGTCTGTGAAGGGATTTCCAACCACCGTTGAGGAGGTTCAGAAAGAGGTAAAAAACTCCTCTTTCTGTTAGTGTCTTTTCTTTCCCCTTTACGTTCCTTGTGAGTCTTGTGTCTGTCCAAAACGTGGGTGTAGATGCTGACGTTAAGAACGTTGCATTAATAGGAGAAATATTGGGTAGATGTCTTTGATTGTTTGCCACAAAGAGCTTTGTGAGTATTTGTGATCATTCCAGTTAGATAATGTGTCAACTCTGCAATATAGAATCTCGTGTGGGGAAAAAGTGTTGCCATAGACATAAGCATTCAGATGGCGTACATCAAAGCAATACGTTCAGCTCAGCATTTCATTTACATTGAGAATCAATACTTTTTGGGATCTTCATACAAGTGGCCAGATTATCCTACTGCTGGTAATTTTCACCCTCATCCTCTTAAAACTGTGCATCTAATGCTGGAAAAGTTCCAGATATATACGCCTCTTTTTCGGGCATTACCATGATTCGAGCACAGTTGTTTTCCCTACATCTGGTCAGACAATGAAAACATTACTGAAAGTGAATTAATCAAAAAAGTAGCTGATTGTAAATGGCTACAGGTGCCAACCATGTCATTCCAATGGAGCTGGCACTGAAGATCTGCAGTAAGATAAGAGAAGGCAAGAGGTTTGCAGTGTACGTGGTAATTCCTATGTGGCCCGAAGGTATCCCCGACAGTGGTCCTGTTCAAGAAATTCTTTTCTTTCAGGTAGTAGTCAAATCTCGCACTTTTGTGTTTAATCTCTTTGGTCTTCTTTTTTCTTTTTTCTTTTGAACATTCTTCCCTCTATAAAATTGTATCTTGAATATTGTGGAAAGTGCTTTTTGATGAATTTTTGAAATTTTGTAGCACGACAGTTTCTTGAAGTCTTGTACATGAATTATGGTTTATATACATTTTTACACGTGTTCTGGGTTGTGTGTATAGTCACAAACTATGAAGATGATGTATGCCACGATTGTAGAGACCATAAGAGAATGCGGACTTACACAAGCAAAGCCTACTGACTATCTGAATTTCTATTGTCTCGGGACTAGAGAGACTCAAAAACCTGGGGAAATTGTCCCTCTCGAACTACCAGATAATAACTCTCCGCATGTGAGTGTTCTCTAACCTCTTTCTTGACATCTATTCGATCAGTGAACTTGAGCGATGGTATTCAGGTGCTTTAGCTTCTCACTGCGCTCTATGGATTAGTACTTTAATCAAGAAAGAATAGGAATTAATTAACCTAAATAGTGTTTCCCTATTGGCATTGTTATTTCAGGGACTTGCCCAAATTAGCAGACGTATGATGATATACGTGCATGCCAAAGGAATGATTGTGGACGATGAGTTGGTGATATTAGGATCTGCCAACATAAATCAGAGATCTATGGACGGATCGAGAGACACGGAGATTGCCATGGGTGGATATCAACCATACCACACATGGGTTCAGAAACATGGGCATCCACGGGGCCAGGTGGAGTGTCAACTCATGTTTGTCTTGTGAATTTTACCCAATTTCAATTCATTCTACTTTAAGAGTGTAACTGAACAGCACTATGGTTAATTGATTTAGAATCAAATCTCACTTATTTCAAAAAAACAAAAAAACAAATATATATATATATATATATATGTGTGTGTGTGTGTGTGTGTGTGTGTGTGGTATTAGCACTTGATTGCATTTGAAGCTTTTCTAGTTATCTGTGCGAGGGAGCAACACACTCTTGAGATTGATTGCCAGAGACAATCAAAGGCTTTTACTAGAACAAATTGATCCTTATGATGGGATTAACCAACTTGCAGGTTTATGGCTACCGGATGGCCCTGTGGGCAGAGCATCTAGGATTTTTGGAGCCTACATTTGAGGAACCTGAGAGACTGGACTGCGTGCAAAGGATTAACTACATTGCAGACATGAACTGGGAGCAATATGCGGCCCCCCAAGTAACGGACATGAGGGGTCACCTAATCCGTTACCCACTTAGAGTAGAAGACAATGGGACCGTGACGAATTTGCTGGGGTACGAGACCTTTCCTGATGTGGGTGGCAAGATCATGGGTACCAATCAGCCTAATATTCCAGACGACCTCACCTCGTAGTAAAATTGTATGCATATTACCTGTTATCCATGGAACTTGTTTCAGTTGTCATTTTGAGAATTAGATATTAGAATGCCCGGAGATGATGTCCTCATACCAGTAGATGCAGAGGCAGGATTTGGAATCCCCAGTGTAGTGTATGCAATCAGGAAGGTTTTAGAAGAGTTTCTGTTTTCTGATACTTGACTACATGTGTATAGTAGATATTAGGATGTTGTCTGTACAGCCATTTCGACCGAGATTTTTACATACCATAGGTAGATTTCATTCTCATGCATGTGATAAACGTCACATGAGGGTTAATGCCAAACCCCTTCGCAGAGGCCCGTGGGTTTGTGTATACGAACAATTTTGATCCTTATTGTGGGGGTGGATATTTAATATTATCACAAAGAAGTGTTATTCTTCAAGTTGAGCGAGATCGAAGTTGAAGAAATTGAATTTTATGAAGTAAATGGAAGTTTTATCTATAATATTAAAGTATCATGGATACTACCAGGAATATAATCAAAAATCTAATCAGATTTAGAAACAAGTTCCCAACATGGATTTTTTGGAATTTTTCTTCATGAAAACGCTGAAAAATTGGGTTGAATTAATTATTTTAAATGTTAAGAGCAAGTTTTTGACTCCTGCATAGCGTAAAAAATTGTTTCTCGTCTTCTTGTATAAGTTTTCATGTTAATTTTAATGGTTGCTAAGATCTTCAAAAACTGATCTGCAATTTTTTTTGTTGTTTAACTGTTGGCCATTTAACATTAGCTTCTTATGTTCCAATTTACAAGTATAAAAAATAATAATATTAGAAAAAGTGGAAGTTGATTTTTTTCTAAAACCTTTTAAAACTTTTAAGAAGTTTGTTCAAAGAAAACCAAGTTATATGTGTTTAATAAATAAATACTCTAAAAATAACTATATTAACAATAACAATAATAACAATGATAACTCAGCAGATATTTAATTTACAAGCTTTTAATTTTTTCAAATAATATATAAAGATACATAAAGTTTAAATATAATTTTTTTTAATTATTTTACATTTGACCTTATTTAATGATGATTGACATTATGTCTTTATTAGTACTTGAATTTTTTTTACATACTTTTCTTGTTTTTTTTTTGGTAACCATGAAATAAAATTAGTTATTTAAGATTAAAAAATTGAGATTTTACATTTTAAAAATAAAAACAAACTAATGAAATTTAAATGTGTTTCATCTTCTATCATTTTTTCATACAAGAATGAATCATTCAATTTTAGATGACATAATACATTAATGGAGGCTAATATGACTATATATTTGAATAATTAAAAATTCCAATTAGTATTATTATTATTAAACAAATGGTAAACATTTTATTTGAATGTAGAAATTATAAATCACAATATTCAATTTAAAATACCTCTGATTTTTATTTTAAAAAAAAAAAACCAACACACACTCATTCAAATTTTTAAATTAAAATATCAATGTCTCCAAACAACACTCTTCTACAGCAAAATAATCAATAAACTTGTTACAAAAAACAACATATTTAACAAAAGATATATGTACATATGAGGCAACAAAAATACCATCTAAGACTTGACAGTTCTCATTGTAAAAAATACTCTATTCATAATCAAACAATAATCAAATACAATAAAATCGTAAGCTCGAAACATAAAGAATTTTGAGCTGTATAATAACTTCAACCGAGACGACACCACATAGCAACACAGTAGTCCAGCTTTTTGAGCAGTAGCTAAGTTAGAGAAACTCCCTCACTCACACTCACTCACATGTTGGTGGTGCCCAGGTTGATGTGACCCAACAAACTGTAACATGGGTTTAAGGTTTAGTTGAGGAGGAGAATAGGAAAAGGAGCATGACTAGCAAGCTCACTAGCAGGCAAGGATTGTGCTAAGCCCCACAACCTTGCAACCGCAAGATGATTCATTCATGTTAGATGTGCAAAGTAAAGACAAAGCAAAGCAGGCCAGATGTTGATCAACTCAATCAGTATAGTATCAACATGTGAGTGAGTGTTTGTGTCACTTTAACAGGTAAAGTGAGGTAGATTAACGTGATCAGACCGAGATTGTGGTGGATGCGCAAGCACGGCAGGAATACAATTGTAAACACCTCCGACATTCACTAAACTTTGGTGGCTAGTGGAAGGTACCACTCCGGACCAAAGCCTGCAGCTGCTCTAGCGGCGTCGTTGAACGGGGGTTTCAACGGACCTCGGAAGTGATTCCGCACTAAAGAATGAAATGCAGACACCACAGATTCTGGTGTCTGTCTCCCATCCATAGCCACACCGGAGTCCACCTTTTGGTGCCCTGCTTCCCCGTTCATGAGGCTTTCCCTGCAACTGCTTCCATCCCCACTTTGCATCTGGCAGTTTGTGGTGGACGAATCGGCAGAGCTCAACCCACCCCCCGCACCATCTAGATCTAGACGAACGAGCTTACTTTCTAACAACTTGTCGTCGTCGTCGTCTTCGGCTTTGATGTCTGCTTTTGGCACAAGCATCCTTGAAGCTTGCGAGTTTTCCTTAGGATGAGTGAGGAGGTGCTCTGGAGAGTCTCTGAGACAAAGGAAAGAGAACCACTTCACTCCAGCTGCACAATGCGTGATCTCCTCGGGATAGATGACTGTTTCCAAGAGTTTTGCAGTCTCCTCGTCACCTCCTCTTCTGAACCGGCTAATCGTGGTTGGCAAAACGTCTAGGCCTCGTGCCTAAGAATGAAGTCAGAAAACGTTGATTAGCGATAAGGCCCGAGATTACCATCGAAATATTCTACGAGTACAATTCAATCCAAGTATGTGGGGATGGGGAAGTGAAGTCCATTGGAAGAGGCAGCACCATTAAATTCTCAGAGTTATATCAAGGGTTATGAAATTGACTTACTTCGTGAACACAGTGCTCCACGGCCAGCCTTGCTTTGAGATCGTGGGCTGTGGTCTCTGCCGAGTCCCATAGACCGTCATGGGCAGGTAATGCGCCGTACCTGGAATTCAGCTCCTTCAATCTCGCTGCCAGTAACAGGAAATGGCGACCCTCGTCTTGCGCGACTCTCACAAAATCGTCAAAAAAAGCTCTAGGCATCGCTTCCGCTTTCCCAAACCTTGCGATGATATCCTGCGAATTGAATTATCGTACGCGCATCAACTTGTTGACACCTAAGGCACCACACTACGCAATCACAATCACACACAAAAAAAACAAAAAAAACAAAACAAAAAAACAAAACAAACAGGAAGCAACACACAGTCCTAGCAAATCACTCACCCAGCTCAAATCGACGGCCCAACTCTCGGTGTGAACAAGACTGTGCACCAAAGCCTGACGGCTCTGCAAGCTCCCGGCCTTTCCAAGCTTGGGCATGTCGCGTGGAGCCACTAAACGCACCTGTCACCAGCCATCCACGCTCCTTCTCATTCTTGCCTGCCAATCTAACAGAATTATAGAAGAGAAAACTTCAAGATAGTGACGCTAAAGTCACAGAGCATTCCTCTAACTAGATCTTACGCTGCAACCATGAATTGGCGAAAAAAAAAAAAAAAAAAAAAAAAAAAAACCCTCATAGCTATGACACAGTCAACCCACTTCTCAACTCAAAGCAGCAGGATACCAAAATCCCCAACCGAGAATTCACTTACCATGTCCGATCGAGCGGGGCGCGAGGGTACCGCCAGCAGCGGCCCAGCCTCGTCATAGGCTTCCCGGATGGCACCCTCCAGCCACAACGAGGCCGCGAGGTCTCCATACTCTGCTTTCAACCACGGATCTCCTTCCAGCAAAACCTTCAATGCGGCCACCTCCAGTGTGTCAGTGCTCTTGGGAGCACCACCACTATTCTTCCCTACTTCCGCCATGGTTCTTCCAACAGAGAGTCCAACAATCAATCAATCGTCCCACACCAAACCAACCCAATCACCCCCCAGACTTTCCTCGTGAGGAAATGGATGATTACAGAAATAGGAACCCAGTGCTTCCTTCGCGAGACATCGGCGATGCAGCCTCGGCATCAGTCGGGACGAGCACTAGCAAAACGGCGACGACGACGACGCAGTCCGGACGCTAGTGCTCAGGAGGCTAGTGAGATCTGGACCGTCCATCTGGGGTGCCTTAAATACCCAAAGCTAGGGCACCCTGAGCGATTGTCAGAGAGGGGAAGGGAGGGAGAGGGTATTCATTAGTGTGTGTAATTCTCTTCCCTCCGTGCCTGAATTCCAGTGTTGCAATGACTATTCCATCTGATTTCCAAACCTGTATCACTTTGTTAAAAAAAAACACACTTAAGTGTACGTGTGCATATATATGTGTATATATATATATATATATATATTTGTTAACGCTATTGATATCCACAATTGATATCACAACCTCCTATGTACCTCTACATGACTTAAATTGACTAGATAGCATGCTTCTATGTTTAGGGTGCATCTGGCAGTCTAGTATTTAATCCCAATATTGAGCCAAAAATAGATTAAATAGAAGAAAAAATTGTCAGCCTAATAAATATTTTAAAAAACCAGATTTAGAATCAAAGAATTTTTTTAAAAATAGCATGTGACATTGTTTTCATAAAATATTTATGTCTCCTTCCCAACCACCACCCTCTCTTAAAGCAAAAAAAGAAAAAAATGCACAAATGAAAGAGGCTAGTTGTCTATAAGGATCTCATGTGGGGTGTAGCAAAATCAATTAAGAATGTAGTGTTAAAAATTGTCTCTCTCTCTCTGTACATACATACATATATGTATGTATGTACGTATATCTTGTTTATTTCTTAGAAAGAACTCTTTTGGTTTTGGTGATGTTTGACTTGTCTATAATTTTTTTCTCAATTACAAGGTACATCATATAATTAAGTGAATATACAACAATATCTAAATAAATTTATATCCATTAAACTTGAGAAAGTTTGCATGGTTTGCATGTATATATATATATATATATGTCCTCTTGCATTGTCCTGTTTGAGATTATTTGAGTTGAAAGGAAATAAATAAATCACTTATAATTTCTAATAGAGACAAAACATTAAAAAAACAATTACCAAGAAACAAAATTTTTAAACACAATTATCGGACTGCTGCACATATACTTAATTTTTGTCATCATTTTCACCTTTATAGGAATAAAATGAAATAATTAAAACATTAAAAAAATCTCCAATGAACAAACTAATATCATTTTCAATTTCTACAAATTTAAAACATGTACATTTTTGTACCAAAACTTTTGTACCTAACCATATTTTTTTTATTAAATAGAATAAAAAAATTAAAAGTATACTCATTACTACCACCATTATTGCTATATGTTTTATTATTATCATTATTATTGATAAGATTTTTTATTTAATCATCAAGAGTTTTGAAATTTTGAAGTTAGTAGAATCTTTTTGTATTTTTTGCCTGTAAATTGTACACTGATTTTGTTAAAAAATATAAATAAAGACAAAAAAGTGATTTTTTCCTTTGTGTGATATGATTATAATATGACTTTTACATCATAATGTATCTTTTTAAAACTTAAACTAAAAAAGAATTGTAGAATACTACTTTTAAGAATTAATTAAAATCATGAATTTTTTGTTGAAATCTACAAACATTGTTTTGATATATATATATATATATATATATATATTCTGAATGGTATTGATTAAGTGGTTATTGTTCCTCAATCATTCAAAAAACATTATAAAACAAAAAAATATTAATGTTTTGCAAACCACCTATGCCTCTTTTGGGATTTTTTGAAAATAATCCTTAAAATATTATAATTTTTTTGGATACAATACACCGCCTGTTATTAATTTAAAAAGTAAAAATAGATTACTTCATGGTAAAATGTGACATACATCTATACACATTGAAAAAAAGGACTTCAACTGAATTCCAAAATGTTTTATCCTCTCCAACAAATACCAGATACTTGCTACCAACCATCTAATAGAAAAGCTCCACCAGGACATTACGAAGTCCACAAACCTAAAAAAAAATAACCTCCGAGTTGGAAGCAATAAAGTGCGGTAACAGTTAGATCAAGCAAATTACCCCAGCCCATACAATCATTAAATAATTGATTCCTTCTCATCCACCCAGACTGAGTATTCCACAGATTTGGTCGAACCTTAAATGGATCTGAACAGGAGTGTGGCCTGTGCCTTCACAATGTTGAATGCAAATTGTCCACGTATGAATCCTTCAGGTTGACACTCAATAAGTGGATGAAGCGTCATACTGATGATGTACCACCAAACGAATTCCCTATCAAACGGCTGATCTTTAACTCACTTTAAGATGAAATAAAGAAGTCTCAGTGTAATGAAACCACACAACTAGAGTTCAGAAACGTCCAGTAATAGGATGGGCATGGATTACCTCTCTACTGGCACAAGCCTTCCCAGGTAGTGAGCTCAATTGTAAGTTTCGCATATCTACATAACTTGACATCGGATGAGTTTCCAGTTCTGTTCCTCTGTATCTATAGCTTTAAACGTAAAGTCATACAAGTAGAGCTCTGTAAGTTCATAAGCCGACACTCGATACATTTGGTTGAGGGTTGCTTATGCTTGTGGCTGTAAGGGCTTACAGTGAGGTATTCATAATTCATATTTGAATTGTGGTTGATCTGCTTAAAAACTTTGGGAATTCATACGCTGAGGAAATTTAAGGCAGTGACTGCTTCGCAGCAAACTGGATAGGTATGACTGGAACGAGGTAGTTATTATGTGAAGAATCAAACTGTTTGAAGTTTCCAACAGACCCAGACGTCTGTTGACGCTGGACTGCAGCTCGCTTGGCTTGTTGCTCAGCAGCGTACTTTTGAGATTGCCCCGGTGGTTCATGCCGTCGCATATTGACCTGGAATTAGGTATACGAAAAGAAGTAACTTAGAACAGAAGTGCGTCCTAATGAGAAGCAATAAGTTGGAAATATCGAATAAGAAGAGGAAAATATAGGTTTCGGTACCTCGGGACGACGGCCTAAATGACGAGCTTCCAGTGACCCCGTGCTATTCATGTGCGGTGATCTGCAGCAACACTAACCCTCCGCATATTATATCTTGCACCCGAGACATATCACACAAACACACACAAACGAACAAAAACAAACAAACAAACAACTGCAGATAGATAAGCGGGTGTGATGAGCAATGAATTCAATGCAAAAGTGTGAGGGACTAAGTAGTGGTACCGTCCAAGTTTGGAGGGTCCGCCAATTCCATGGGGGTCACCAGCTAAATCTGTTAAGATGTCCATAAATCATGCTCAAAGATTGAAAAAAGAGCTATTCTACTGGAAGAAATACACACATAGAAAAAATGCTGATTGTTAGCATTAACAAACCCTTCAGAAGTAAGCATAAGCACTGACATCCACTACCTTTTCCTGACGACCGCAGCGACACCCTCTCTCTAAAAACCCCTGGAGTCCCCATACCGCCAATGCCAGTGCCACTGGGCAAGTTGGGGGCTGCAGGACTTGAGAGTGTTGGAGACGGACTCGCAGCTATCCCAAAGCCTGGTGGTCCTCCTAAACCTTCCCTCTTCGTTTCTGTCTGCGCAGCACGTCTGTTCTGTCAGGAAAAAACAGGATTAGCTTCAGTATTAGCCACGTCAAAAATTGTATTCTCCTCCTGACATGGACGCTCCTGACAATGCTTCCGCTACAGCTACTACATCATAACTAGGGTTTATACTTAATCACATGTGCCCCTCGAAGATTGCTTGTCTTCCATTTCTTCGAAGTATAATTCCTGCCCATTCTCGAGGTTTCTCGGCCATGGTCTGAAATAAATTCCCTTCTACCGATTAAGATTAAACAGACAACTCCGTAACTCAAATACTCACACCTTCTGACGAATTCTGGTAAGATTTTGCTGAGAGTAGCGGTAAATTAAGCCACAAGCACATCGACCTAAAAGTAAAAGATTCATAACCTAAGAGAAGCGTGCTCTCATTTCCAATCGTAATTGATTGGTCTCAGGCACATCAAAAAGTCCTCGACTCGCTTCAGAATATTATGGTGTATCAAAACCCACGAATTACAGAACAAACGCCTTGGGAGTACTAACAAAGCTTGCAAAAAGTGAATAATCAACTAAAATAAACCACAAAAACCTACAAAGCCAATCGAAACCATCGAACTCGATCAAAGCCTAAATCCACGTCCAAGGAAGGATCCCTTGCAACAGAATGCCAAACTTACACCGCAAGTTTTCCCAGGCGACGCCTCGGCGGCAAAGCGTTAGCATTTTCCCCGCTGACGCTCCCACCGTGCGCGAACGAGTCCGCCGTGCTTGCCAGGGGCGCCCCACTCCCACTCCCTCCCAAACTCCCCGTCGACGCACTGGACGTCGGCGGCGTGGGCGATAAGTTACCCACCGCCTGCTGTTCCATGGCTACCGCAACTCAATCCCGCCCTACTCTACCGCTACCGCACGCCCCCACGCGAAAGCTCACAAGCACGAAACCTCTCACGAAACGGATCAGCAGGAGAGGAAAAGCCGATGGCAGTGAACTACTCCCATCGCTGGCCACCGCCAGAAACGACGCCTCGGCACATCCAGCAGCAGCCGTGCACAATGAAGGAAAGAGGCATCATCAGGGAACGAAGAAGAGATGAAACCATGTCCGGAGGAGGACAATGCGTGTCCCAGTATTGTAACGTCGCGGGAGCTATGTGAGTGAGTGTGTGTGCAAAATGGGGCCAGGATGGCAGATAGAGAAGGCAACAAAAAGGAAAAAGGAATGCTCCCATCCTCCTCCTCCTCCTCCTCAATTGTTCCTTCTACTCTCTCTCCTGATTCCTTTTGGTAATGGATGAATGTCGTACGATTTGAATCGTTCTTTGTTCATCCGTTGACTGCTCTCCACGGATGCAATTTGTGCGTCTGTGTTCAAGTTTGAACCGTGGATCTGTTTTGCAGATCTGAACTCGAGCTTTTCATGGTTGTAATTGTATGAAGTATATACATGTATGTGTGTATGCACGTATGTATGCATAGGAGTCAGACACGTATATATACTTCTATACTTTTTGAAAAATCATTTTGTTCAAACATATCTTATCCAGATAGTGTATTTTTGTTATATTTAAATTCATATTCTTGTTTTCAATCATCCTTTTAAATCAATGTATTATGCTATATATATATATATATATATATATATATATATGTGTGTGTGTACATATGTGTATATATGCATATATGTATATAACTACTGAATCCATCAATATTTATTCATTCCTATTTGTATTTTTAGTTGTTAAGTATTGTTGATTTGTTAAGATATTTGTTATTTAAATAAGTATTTACAAATTTTTTTTCCTGCCCAGGTTTAATTCAAATAAACTTTTAAAGTCTTCCACACAAATCTATATATATATATATATATATATACATTTGTGCTTTTTGCTTTGGTACTAAATTGTTAAGTTTAATGCATTTGTTTGTTATCAACTCTAATGGCTAGTTATAGTGAGATTATGCGAATAAATATATATATATATATATATATATATATATCATCCTCCAGGATTTTTGGTACTTATTTACGTATAAAATGAATATAAAATAAAACATAAAATCTTAAATTTTGAATAATCATTTATAAATCCTGAAAAGTAGAAGGCATATAATTTTGATGCAACACTTTCTTGAGAGCTCATTAATCCTTGGTTTTAAGTATACTCACTGTTGTTATTGTTTACTATCTATTGGGTGTGCTCAGTATTTGAATTTTAGCAGATAAAATCTACCCCTTTACATTTGGCACTTTGCTAGGATTTCTAGTCATGAATTGTATAATTACTTTGTAGATTTTGTTGTTTGAAGTTGTGTTTATGGTATGGACAACATGTTTCAGTTTTTCAAATCTATTGTGCAGTTTCTAATGTTAATTTTGTGGAAGCAAATAAGAAAATGGAAAGTTTTCCTGAAAGGTAGGGAAAATTGGTGATTGATTTTTTTCATCTGTTGGACCAGCTTACTGAAGGGATGGAATTGTATTGCATACGTGAATTGAAACACTAAGATAAGAAGTCTAGATCAGTTTTGGAGTTGGTAGCAGAAAGTCCTTCTGAGTGTCTTTATTATTATTGTTGACATTATTCATGGCTAATATGTGCTGATGGTTGCATTAAGCTTTTGGTGACTTGGTGACTACATGATCTAGCACTTCAAAACAAAACAACACTTTCATAAAAAATAAAACAGAAAAGAATCTATTTTACTTTCCAACCAATTTCGTTACCTCTAAAATTCAGTACCCAACTACTCATTTCAGAATAGAATCACAGTATGTATGAACGCTTTTTCGGTGATGTTCTTAGAAAAATGAAGAAGATGTTGGTTAATTCAGATTCCTAATGAAGAATATGTTGATGAACAAGTATTTCTACAAAAGAAAGTTTCGTTCCCACAAGGAACGTGAGAATCCATTCCCGAAAGTGACAAATTGTGTCTCGAAATGCAAAAGATGATGTCTCCACTCCACTTCGTTCAAGTAGATGATGTCATGGAGGTGCGAAATCTCAACACCAGGGTTGTGAGGTCAGAGTGGGGTGGGGGCGGGGGGCCATGTAAGTGAGATCGTAGCTTTTTGTTCGGGGGCACTGCGCAGGCGGTGCAACTGAGCGGGGGTTTGTTCCTTCGTAGGGTTTGGTTGTGTCGCTTGCGCGTGACCACCCTGGGAATTGTCGTCGTCGAGCTCGGAAGCTGACCGGATAGGAGTTGGCTTTGGCTTTTGGTCGGGTTGATGGTTAGAAGTCGTAGGGGCTGTTTTATTGAGAGACACGAGCGTCGGGAAATGGCGGTGCGTAGGTGTTCCCTTTTTTCATGCCCTCGAGCAATCTTCGAAGCTTGATTGCGTTGATTGACGCTGAAATGGCGGGTGGAGAAGACCAGAATTCGATGATGCCAAAGTTGTAGGTACAATAAGATGTGAATTCTGGGCGCGCTCGGACGCCAGGGTGTTGGGGAGTGTAGTCCCTGTGATGTGTATATACAGGCCCAGAGCAATTAGGTCCCTTCTTTATGCTGCTGGAGATGAAGTGAGTGGTTTCATTTCGCGAGGCTTTCTATTCTGTCAGGTTCGCAGGGGTATAGTATGAGCAGAGGGACGGAGAAAGACATATTGAGTGCCGGGCTTATGGAGTAGGTCAGTGGATGCGTCCCTAGGGTGTGCACAATGTCAGCATTCTGTGCCTTCTTTTTACAGTTTTTGTAGTGGTTTCTTGGTAGATGCGAGGTGTATGTGAGCTTTTCGAGTTTTTTTTTTTTTTTTTTTTTTTTTTAAAATTATTATTACTATTATTATATAGTTTGTTTCCTTTGTTTCGTTTTCCGGATTTGTAATTTAATCACTCGCATGATGGTAGATGGAAGGTAAAATTTACATGACACCAAACGGAGTTTTGAACGATGATTTGGGTTTTGGAGCAGGCGATTCTGCACTGAGAGGGCTGGGTTGTCTGCTGGTTGCTAAATTTAAAAAGGTGGAGTCGGTAGAGGCCAGTGGTGAAGAGACGAAGAGTAGCAGGGCCAACGATCATTTGTACAGTCGCAAGAGTCGCGACGGTGAGGATCGGGAAGCGAAGAATGGTTGCATTAGTGCAGGAAGTGTGCACGGCATGCAACCGGGCGAGGAGAAGCTTGTTATACGAAAGCAGACGAGTCTTTCTGGGGTTCTAGAATCCTTGATGAGGTACTAGGTCCGTTTTACTGAGCTGTGGTTAATTGTGCTGTCTGTGCTGAATGATTGACCTCGTCGTAGATTTTCTATAAGTTTGGGAGCGCACACAATGCACTACATGCGTCGGGCCTTGTTAACGATCAGTTGTTGTTGGATTCGAAGACCCAGGGAGTGAGCGTGGAGCTTATCTTCAATTTTTTTTGTGGCATTTGATTCAGAGCTGGTGCCGCGAAAGTCTGAAATAATTCTTTTCGTGGGACGTTGTTTTCAGCAGCTGAGTAGTAACGTTAATTTTGTGCCCGTGCATTGGCTCAATGTAGAAATGCGGTCTGTTATCGTTGTTTGTCGGTCACAAGTGGTCGTGAGTGTACAATAGAGTCGGGAATGTCGACCTTGAAATTTGGCATGGATACGCCGCACGCTTCGTGCATTTAATTTATGTCCATCTCTAGTATACTCTTTGGACATTGACTTGATATGCCCCGTTTTCGTGAATATTGGGAGCACTGCATTGCTTATTTGAACGGGCTGTAGTCGATTCTTTGTGCGTTCACTTCGCATCGTTTCTTGGCAATGAAGAGCGAGCGTTGGCTTCGTAGGTATTGTACCGATGGGTTCCCCTTTGGATGGCAGTAGGGTTTTCAATGTTTGGTGTATTGCAGGCCGCAGCTCTTTGACCTGTAGAAGTAGCGATTGAGGACCGAAGCTTCAGATTGCTGGTGCTATCGGTATAGAGCTGTAGTATAGGTGAAGAGGGATTCTACTGCCCCAAATGCATGTCCATGGTTTTGCCCTACCTCCTTACGCTGGTTTCTCATCGTCCTCTCGGCTGAGTTTTGAACCAGCCACTTAGATGCCCTGCAGCTGAGGTAGGACTTAGAACAAGAAAGCATTATTGTCACCTGTGTGAAGGTTTGTCTACAACGATTCGTTTCGATTGGTTTTTTCTTGTTTGTCCTGAACTCGTGAAAGTGGTGCAGAGCAGGACGTAGCAACAGATTTCTGATACCTTCGTGTGTGTTTGTTTGTCGAGCAGTTTGGATTCCAAAGGAGATTTTATGGGCCCTTTGGATGGATTATCTTCATCGAATCTTTCGAAGGTAGCCGAAGCCCCAATGTGCCTTAGAATGATGCAAGAGAAGATTCGGACTCATCAGTATTCCACATTGTGCATGTTTGTGGTATGTTGAGTTAAGAGCAGGATGTTTTCATTGCGGTCTTGTATAGGTGGTTGAGTGGACAGTGAGTCTATTGAACATGTCGAGTCGTTTTTCAAACAGGAGTGTTGATTTCTGAACTTCTGCGGCCTCGTTAAATTGGGTGGAGAGAATTTGCTGGAGGCCGTTCACTAAGGCACGTTAGAAGTCGTAGTTGAAAGTGAGAGATGGTTTATGTATGTGTGGCCTGTTGTGCATGTGAACTTGGTTCAGTGTATCAGTTGTTTTATTCGCTTACTTACTTAAAGGGGGTTGAATGGTTAGATTTTCGGGTGAGATGATGATATGGTTCATTCGTGTGCACAGAATGATTTCGAACGGATATGTTACAACGCCCTGAGGTGTAATCAGAAGCGTAGCATTATATGGGCTGCTGCCCACAACCTTCTACGTCGAGGTAAGAAACAGTTAGAGCAATACGAGGGATACGGGGAGAGCTTAGTCGCATGGAACCAGACTGACTCCAAAATCAGCGTACCCGTGGAAACGAAATCGGAGAATGAGGAGGCCAAGGTTTGCCATCCCGAGAAGTCTTTGGTGTCCAAAGGAGTGAAGATGGCTATATGCAGCGCTACTACTGATTCAGTTGAAAGCAACCTACCATCTTCTGGAGGTGGCTCCAAGTGCAAGATTGCACTGGTTGGGAAGGGTAGTTGTTTGACGCCTAGTCTGAAGTCAGAGAAACGGGAGAATCAGATGAGTGAGATTGCGGAGCCATTCCAGTGTCCTACGATGGGTGCTGATTCAGAAGACACTTCAACTCACAAGGACAGTCCGAAGGCAAATGCTAGCAGGGTAATTTGGAGCGGAGAAATCAGTCGAAGGGCTTCAGAAGGAAAACCTGCTAATGGATCATCTGCAGTGGGCCAAACAGACAAAGACGTGGATGTAGAGGGGGAGAGGGATGTGGATTCGGCAAAGTGGCGATGGGACGCTGAAGGCGACGCAACAGAATCTTCGAGTTCGTATGGGTCGAGTGGAAGTTCGTTGGGAAGTGAAGTGAGCCCTGACAGGGCGCAGTGGATGTTCGAGGCCGAATCAAGTTTACGCGATGGCAACGGAGCAGTCGGGCTGATCGAAGACGATTATGGTGTTTTCACTGGCGAAAGGTACAGCTTGACTTTGTGACTGGTGTAAAGCATGTGAAAGTCTTTGGTGGCAACTGTGATGACCGGATGGTTGTCCTATATTGAATTCTAAGCAGAGGATTTAGGGTGGGTACTGTGAAAAGAGAGAAGAAGGTGCTGGACGCAGAGTGGAAGCAGACTAGGCGCGGCATTGAGTGGAGATGTCATTGGTTGGAATTGAAAACGCTGGCGATCCAGGCGAAATTAGCTCAATACGAGAAAGTGTTGAAGAAAGCACAAGGTGAGAAGGTCTGGAAATGGAATGGAGAGGTCGGTGAAGAGTTATGCTCTCGAACGGTGCCGGTGAAGATTTTGCGAAATCATCCAATCGTTCATCACAAACATCGGAGGAGGGCCGAGGGCGGCCATGATGTGGATTTGGGAAAGCATCCTGTGTTCTCACGATATGGTACTGAAGGAGAGGCTGGAAGTGCATTTGCAGTTGGATTGTGTGATTTTGTGAGTGGGCACAGAGATTTAGCAAGTGTCTAGTGTGAGCACTGTTCATGCTCAGCATGCTGATTTTGTATCATTACGACGAAGAGTTATGAAATACATTTGTACACGTTCCGGTGCATACGGAAATTTGCTACACTTTATGGGATGTAGTGTTTGAGTAGTAAGCTGTGGCATTGTGCGTTGATTAGGTGATGCGTGTGATTTCATGGCTGGTCGCTGAGTTCACAACCCACATGGCAGTGTTACGTTTTGGTAGGTGTTGTAGCGTAGACTTTATGTAAAGAAGTATCAAGAACTTGATGATTGTGGTGGGTACGAAAATAAAGTATGAACTTGATGTATTTAACTTGGGCTCAGTATGATTAGAGCAAGGAGCGGTTAGCACATGCACTCATTTATTATGGGATCTTTTGCTGCAGAGAAAAGGAAGACCCAGCGCAACTCGGACAGTGGCTCAGGTCTAAGAAAGGTGGATAGGGGGGAAGTGCAACAGACAGAGTTTGAGGGTGTGTGTCTACCTCCACTTTGCATGCCATTCACATTATTTTAGCAGCGTCATTTTTTTTGGTTGTGGGACGTTAACACGATAGCACTTGTTAACAAGGTGCAGCAATTCGAAGGAGTGGCAGCTGGTAGTCCAGTTGAATGATATTTAGGGAGTTGTTATCTGAGGGTCACTGTCGGAGCCTCGTTGGCAGACCTTGTGAGTGGCTTGTGGTAATCGACGCATTTTGTTCCCTGACTTAGCCCTAAGCATGAACGTGTAGAGTTACTTGGCTGGATGAATTGATCGATAGTTTGCAATCTCGCAGTGGTTTTGAACTGATTTGATATGGTTTGTTGCGCAGTGTCTGAACCAGAATCCACGTACGAGAGGGAAGACGTGGAATTGCAACCAGGTGCAGAAAATGCATTCGAAGGGCAAGATTCCATGGAGCAACTTTTGTGGCAAGTGGAAGCTTTGCAAGTGCGCGTGAGGAAGCAAAAGCACTTACTGAGGAAAGAAGCAGCTGCACGAAAGAACATTTCAGTTGGTTGTAAGGACGGTAGTGCACTGAGCCTCTCACCGCATGCGCTTCCTCAATCCCCTCAGAAAGGTAACGCGTCTACTCAAGCATTGCCTTGTCCGAAAGGTGTAACACGTGCAGGCCCCCTATCGTCCTCTAGTGGCAGTTTGGGAAGATCAGGTTCAGGTGCTGGGCTGGCACGACGTAAGACGGCAGATTATGACATCAGCAACATGGTGATGCCCGCAAACGTGGGTACCACCTTTGTGGAGCAAATACGTCATGTGGACATTGAGACACCATTGTGGAGGGTGGCCGAAGATGCAAACCCAGCAGTGCAGCACTTGGAAGCTTCATCCAGCGATGAGGTAGGTCAAGCACGGCGGTATTGGATTGCTCTTACGTTTTCGAGGATTATATGGCGTGTGTTCTCTCACCGTCGACCGAATTTGCTGCGCACGGGATGTGTTTACTGGTTACGTGTGAATGTTACTATGTAGGGGTTTCGCGTCCTGGCTGGGCTGCAGTAGTTCGAGTAGATCAGGGATATGTGAAAGGAGTTTATAAAAGTAAATGGGTCAGAGCTCGTGGGTCTTTTGTCACAGTTGATGGTTAGAATTGTGAGGGTTAGGCAATGCGTAATGTATGGGTAACTTTGGAGGCTGAACAACTCAAAAGCTGTGCTGCCCTGGAATCTGGGTTCTTGTGCGTGGAAATTTGATTAATGTGTATAGTTCGGTTCTTATTTGGGACTGTTTAACTATTGTCTCTTGGGTTCTATCGTGAACAGGAGACGGAAGATGAGCACTATCAAAGTCGACACTCTGTGATGGAGACGCTGGAAAAGCTGCAACGGTACATGCCCCGTCCGAAGAAAAGTGTTGGCGACATTCATACTGTTGGAAAAGGGAAGTTGAAGGTGGGAAGCGGGAAGAGTGCGGTTCAGATGGGTGGCAAGGGCAGCAGTGCAGGCTCCGCTCTTCCCAGTGGTCCAAGTGGCACTTTGGCACGGTCGGCTGACAATATACCTAAAAGGCAACGTTCAAATCGGAGTGTTGTTCGCAGACCACTGGCGTCTTTAGCAAATGCTTCAGCTGCGCAGACTAAGTCCACAGAGGGTATGAAATCTGAACCTGTTAAGAGTGAGGTATCAAGGAAGGCTGGGGGTGTGGATCTCTTGCTCGTTGGGAATTGGAATACCGCATTTTCTGGGGCAGAGTGAACCCGCGTCGTGGATCGCATGGAAGAGGACTAGGAAGTAGCGTGATGCTGCATTAGCGTGTGCTTTTAATTGTGACAGAATGATAAGTCCATCATTTTTGTGGTAAAGTAGGCTAGATCACGTTTAGCTGGAGATGATAACGGTCGACGGCCTGTAACATTTGTAGCTTATTTCCACCGAAGTTGTGGCACAGTGCACCGTGCATTTGGATATGAAGAGTTCTATGCTGGTCTCGCTGTGACTAACTTGGTCGATGCTGTACAGTACTGTGCTGAATTTTTGCTGGTATATATTGTTCTGAGATTCTTTGGCCATATCTGGCAGAATATGAGAGATGTGATCTGTTTGTAGATTAATCTTGCTTCTTGTGATAGGGTGTCGATTGATGTTGAATTTTGATTATTATTACAGGGTTGTTTTGTGGCTCTAATGTTGAATGTGTAGTCCTAATTTTTTATTAGACCTATTACGTTGAGTGGTGACTGCAATGCATCATGATACAGCTTATAAGTTGCTGTTTATCTCGCGATTGATGTATGATGCTGTATGTGAGACATTGGTTACAGTGACTGTTTCGCCGCAGTCACCTTTCCATCGCGTAATTTTGTCCGGAGATTTTCGGGGCATCATGTCAAACCTGGAGCAGAGTTCGATGTGTGAAAATGAAATGCCACCCCTCCATGTCATCGCAAGTTTACCGATTTCTGTTCTCGAGGACACTCAAGTCTTCAAGTTGCTATAACTGAGCACAGCTTGAAGGGGTATCGATTTCTGTGATCATTGATGCGCTTCGATTTTGACTTATTAGACGGTATCAGTAAATGTCGTACTGAAGAAGGTTACTAGGTACAGTCTTGTTCAAATTCTCTTATTTAACGTTTTTGTAGGGGTGTGATATTTTGTTCTATTATAATCCTATTTGATTTGGTTTTTGAACAATTGTGGCTTGTTAATTTATCTACTGAATATAAAACTCCCTTACGTTTTCAAACTTTAAAGCTTTACTCGTGCCTCCTCACTTCAAACTTTGATACTGAGCCTTTATGACACTTTCAAAGATGTTAAATTAGTTTCAAAAACGTTTTTTTGATAAATAAATAAACAAATAAATAAATTTTCTAGTCACAAGTTTGAATTTGCCTAACAACCACTGCATGTTAAACATGGCACTGACTATATTTAGAATATTATTCAAACAAACATTGAGTTTGATTAAAACGATATAGATGTAGAACTGGTTGTAAGCATGAGCTTCAATAGCACATTCCATGCACTTGTAGTGAGGAGGGTGTCTTGTGGATGGATGTTCCCTTGGACAAGGCTCTAGATCTCTTTTCTTTGCATGATTTTATATTAACCCTATTTGCAATGAGGATTTACGTGAAACAAATTTAGAAACCAAAAAATTACAATGCATTTCAAAGTTTTAGTATATCCATATCCATTTTAAACTTTTGCAATTATACTAATATAAAGATGTAAACAAAATAAAAAAGGATTCATGATATTACAGATGCTTTGAGTGCTCAATATCCATAGTAAATCAATAGTTACACTATGATTTTGATTTCTGAAGTAAAAACATATCCCATCCAAAGCCTTCATGATTGATTGAGTTTATGATGAAAACATCTGTATGAAAATATACCCAAGATTAAAAGCTGTACCTGCAATCTAGTTAAGTACCGAAGACCAATACTTCAATAATTGCTTGAAGATTATGTAAGAGTTGACTTGATCAATATTCTGGACACAAATTTCAAGATGTCAGAAGAATACACTAGTCATCAGAAATGCAAGAGTTTCCGAGAGCAATTATAAATGTCTTCGGAAGAATGATACTCGTGGCAGTTAAATTAGCCTGAAACTAAATCCTGTACTCAATAGCCATGTAATGCAGCCTAGACGTTAATTGTATCAAGGCCACTGAAACAAAGATATTATTGGAGTTGGATTAGCTCAAGGTCGCATCAAACTTTGATCACTAAATAAGCAATGGTTAGAGCTTGGAATAAACCTCAGCACTATCCGATAAGTAACATAATCTGATAGTTCCGTTTCATCAAAATTGGATTTCGCTAATGTTTGACTCCAAGAACTCATGCTTCTGCTAGTGTCAAGCGGGGCACAATATTCATGGATTGAAGTTCCTGAAAGAAAAAATCACACACAACCACTTTATTAAGAACAAAGTAAGAGAAACGATACGTGATGGAGGGTACCGACGACAATTTAAAATACAATCTTAAGGTGGAAAATGAAAGACTATTCGTTGGAATTTTCTTCCTTTCGGACGGTCTGTTGACTCAAGGAAGCAAGGGGCAACGGAGATCGTATTCTAAAAAATACTAAGCTTATTTATGTTATGCAAGTTTAAGATTTCTATGAATACCCAGCAAATACGAGCAATACTCCAGTTTACTACTAAACCATCTCAAACTGTTTGATTTGACCAGCGAGTTGGGCATTGGCAATACTGTTTTACTTGGGAGCAATCAATCATTGAAATCGACACTGAGGCATGCGATCAATAAAATAACGAGAGCAAGAATAAGAACAGTCGAGAAACAAACAGATGATAAATTGGAGAGAATTACCTGAAATAAAAGTTTACAAGCATACGGGAGTTTCATTGTTGCAATATTATCACCACTCTTACAAGTAGAACACAAACAAATCTTAAGCTTGTGATGGTAGTAGCCAATCATCCCACACTTTGTGCACACCTGCCACACCATGTTAATTTACAGATCAGTGTATCACAAGAATAGAGAATGTGAACGCCGAGAGCAAATGATATCAGGTACTTTTCAACCAAACTAGAACCACCCAGAACCGAAGCTGTGAAAACAAAAGATACTTAAAATACATGGAAAAAAATGAATACCTGAATTTGAAATTGATCACTGGATATCATAAGACGTTCCAATATCATCATACTAGCACCATAAGCTATCAAACAATCACGCTCCATTTCACCAAGCCTCAAACCTGCAAGAGAGTGGCAACAGATATATAGAGAACTGCCAGGAAATTGGTGATCTATTAGCAAATATTAAAAGTAGAATTAATTACCTCCTTCTCGGCTTCTTCCTTCTGTGGGTTGTCTGGTGAGTACCACCCGAGGACCTCGAGCACGCGCATGCATTTTGTCCAAAACCTGATGCAGAACAGGCACGTAGTGCGAGCAGAAGCCATGAGCACATATTGGAGTATACTAGAATTTCATAATTCAACATGAACAGAAAAAAATTCAATCGACATCATTGTACTAGACAAGCAGATTCTTACCATATGCTTCAGCTTCTGATAATAAATAGGTCCCATGAATATATAAGCTTGTAAAGGGCTCCCAGTAATACCTGCAAAAATGTATTTAAGATCAATGGAGTCGAAGTGAGCAAGAACTGAACTAACTAAATCAGACCACAGGTAAATATAACACATCGAAATTGCTAGAACATTTCAAATGCAAACCTGAGTATATAAAATCCTTGCCACTATAACTAAAGCCGTGCTTCACCAAGGTTGCACTGTCAGCCACAAGCGGGGATTAGTTCCAATATGAAATACAAGAATTTAAGTGCTTAACTAAAGATAAAGAGGAGAGTGGGGGATTGCTGCTAAAATGTATACAAGGAAAATACGATTCTCAAGTTTGAGTGTTGTGCTCTCAGAGCACAGTGAATTAACACTGCCATCTGAATCACTAGCATCACAAAAGCCTTAAAAGAACCAAGACGAGTACCTGATAGTTGATACTTTGTCAGCATGACCACTAGGCTCACCAAAAGCACTTCCATAGTGAAACTTGCCATTATGCAATCCTGCCTTCCCTCCAAGAAGCTCTATCATTTTTCCAACGGTCATTCGACTGCCAGTATCGAAAGCGACAATCAGCACGACAGCAGTTAATGCGTACATTTGCACTCTAATTGTTAAAAGTAATACTTAACTACCAAACTTCTGAATGAAGAGATGCATGATTTGTAAACGGGAAGATATCCTATAACGTAGTAGTAAAAAAATAAAAGAATGGTACAACTTCCAACACAAGGACTAGCGATGCGTGTGTTTTTTTTTTTTTTTTTTTTTTTTTTTTTTTTTTTTTTTTTTTTTTTTTTTTTTTGTTACCAAACTCAGCTATCAACCTAATCTGCATAAGGTGGGTTATAGAAGCAAACCTGGGAAATCCATGAGGATTCATAATCAAATCTGGGCAGATCCCACGCTCGGAAAATGGAAAATCTTCTTGCTGAACAATAGTTCCACAGACACCCTTCTGCCCGTGTCTGCTACTAAATTTATCACCAACCTGAAGCCACAAAATATGCACCGACATAAATTAGCAAATCGTTACGATAAATATTGTCAAGGGCACAAAAATTGTACTAGATTCTTAAATTATGATAGAGAACAAAGGAGTACCTCTGGACGTCTCGTCTGACGAATAAGACACTTGACTACAAAGTGGTTCTCATCGTTGCTTGTAAGTAAGACCTTGTCCACAACTGCAGTTTCTCCAGCTGCTCCTTTATAGGTTTGTGGTGTCCTCTTGTAAGCCCTGAGCATAAATATTTCGGTTAGCTACTAAAACAGCATGAAAAGTCTGTCGCATCAGTAAGTGGAGCTTAATTTGAAAAAAAGATATCAGCAAAATCGCAGCGTCTTATTTACTGGTAAGCCACTTGAAGTTTCTTACGAGTCAGGCAAAGCCATGGGATTGTTGACATTGTTTCTAGTATCGATTGGGCTTTGCTTGTTCACGTAAATGTCTCCGGGACGAATCATCTCCCCAACTGCAGCAATGCCATCGTGATCTTGCAGCTGTACAACAAGATTACAGATTAGCACATCACAGTTCAGTCCACCACGATTACCTTAACACGGTAACATACTGAAAAAACTTGCCATAGTTAACTTGTACACAATAACCATTAAGTAGGCGGTAATCTCTACTTACCTGCTGACGTGCAACGACTTGGACACCTCCTTTTGCTGAGCTTTGCAGTTCAGGAGCCATAATTCGGTCTGCAGTACGATTTGCGTACTTCTTCATGGGAACTACACTCCTACCATATGATCATGAATATTATCCTCAAAGTCAGTAAAGCTGCTTAAACACCAAAATAACATAAATAAAAATTCAAGCTTCAAAAAATTACTTGTGGAGCTTACTTCTTAATTACAATACAACGACCAAATCCTCGGTCTAAAGATGACTTATTCATCACTATAGCATCCTCAATATCATAGCCACTGTAACTCATGACTGCAACAGTTGCATTTTGCCCAGCCCCGAGCTTGTCATAGCCAACCTGTAATAAAAAGAAACAACGCTCCATTAGACAACTTGTTTAGAAAGCAAGAGGTCCTAACAAAATTACCCTCTTACTGCTGGATCTATCTGAAGATAATCTAGACTAAAACTGCTAAAGTTTCTTGTTAACACAGGCTGTTAACTAAGTATTATCTCTATCTGCTATCCACAACACTTTGTTCGCTGAACCGTCATAACACTCGGATTGAAGAAGCTGACAAAATAAAATATACGAGCTGTTCTTACCAGCTCAATGCTCTTGGTAGAAAGCAGAGGTCGTTGTGGGTACACAAGGAGGTAAAGCAGTGTGTCCATCCTTTGCAACTGCACGATCATATACCCGAGTCTCAAAACATTTCAGGAATTACAATCATCAAAATCATAATACCTATTTATTTACTAATTTATTTATATTATTAGTTTTTGTGGCCTCACATCACCTTATGTGATTACAAGCGAGAGAAGAGGAGAGAGTGATCTAATGTAACGAAAGGAAGAGCTAGATAAGATCACCTGATTATAAGCAATGTTTCCCATTGCTTGTTTACCCATAGCACACTGTCATTCATAAAATGTGAAAGTAGTTAGCAAATATAACAAACACAAATTTAATACGAACCTTTGATTGAAGAAGCATCTTATCATGCAAAGAGCCAATAATAGTACCTGATATGTGTTACGGGGAGATTGATTGTGATGTGGATAAGGTATAAGGCCAGCACAAACACCCAATATTGTAAAGGGCTCGATTTCAATGTGTGTAGTATCAGGTGTAGCATCTCCTTCATAAAGTGCGATCTGTTTCAATATTAACATTCATCAATGTAGCTACTCTTAAAAAGAAAATTCAAGAAAAGCACTAGTAAGAATAATAATAATAATAATGATAAAAATGTTAAAGAACCATCTCTTCAGCAAGTCATGGTTCTTTCGTTCAAAGAGAAATAAGGAAACTGAAGAATATACCAAACTATTATTCTCCTCGTTCACGTCCAAATACTCAACAAGACCTTCTCGTAAGAAGTCATCAAAAGTGCGAAAGCCATCCTGAACCAGAATTTCATGTTCTTCATTAAAAAATAAAACATAATACTTCATATATACAAACGCAATTTTCAAAAGGCAATTAAACCATCAAGCATCCCTCACACTTCTGACATGTCGCACATTCTGCAAAGAAAGCTGTAAAGAAATTCATTTACATGTATAGATATCAAGAGATAACTTATCATTAAAAGAACGAGAAATGTGGGGTGTATTATCGTTTGTTTGACTCACCTTCAGTTCTTTCATATGATGCTCCTTGACTCGAGATACACCTTTGTCAGCTATTACAAGGGGCCGACAAACTCGACCTCCATCGGACGCAATTTGGATGTTCCGCTGCTTGCATCAGTAACTCACATCCATTACAAAACGCAGTACGAAGTGCTTTACGAATATGATATAAGGTGCTTAACAGAGAAAATGAACAAAACCAAATAAATGAAGTTATATCAGGAATAGATAATCGATTCACATGAAGCTATGTAACAGATAGTGACTCTTGCACATACGTGTTTAGGATTGACATGTACGCTAACAAATTCTCCAATTTTTCCAGCCCGACGCAGTTTTCTCAAAACCTCTGCAAATCGCTGGAATCACAAAGATTGAATCAAAACAAAAACAATAAAAAAATAAAGAGAAAAAGAAGATTGAATTGATTTGCGTCATGTTCATGCACCCACTTTGCATACTGAAACGCACTACTCTTTAACAGCCTTCTGTACCAAAGGGAAGGTATGTGAAAGGTCAATCGGATTATACATTTGGACGCCGATGAACACCCAAAATAGTTCCATTGAAAAATACTAGGTATGTTTTGGGAGAATGAAGTTCTTCTCCTGATAACAAGGATAAATCTTCTACTCCCAACGTTGTGCACTGCCATTACAAAAATTCATGTTGTTACGATCCGCTTCAAAGACATGCACAGAGCCACGCTAAGCTAGACACAGAAAAGAAGCACAGAAGAAAGTCATCGAGATTACTTAAGCGTAAAACAATCACCCATAAATCATGACTAGAATCATTACATTTACGATTCAAGACCACATCATCCACACATCCTCATAAGTGGAACCGTACCAGCTCAATTAAGGGAGCCTCCTCTTCATCAGTAGTTACATGAGTCATGAGACTCAAATTCTTCACAAGTCCACATGCCTCTCCTTCAGGCGTATCACAAGGACACAACATTCCCCACTACAAACAACATGCAAGGAAAGAGTTTAGATGCAAGGAGGAGGAAAAATAATAAAGAAGATAAAAAGAAGAAGCAGAAGAAGGATGCCAGTGGAAAGGTCGGACAATCAAGATATACTTCTGCAGTACGATAGAAAATAATCAAATTCGTAAAGCATAAGACACTCAATTGTTGGCCACAACATCTTCAAACTCAAACCAATAAGCCTTCTCTCTTCCAAAACAAGTTCAAACCACCAAGGATCATGAATTGAAGTGACCATTTGAAGATCACAAACTACATTGTGAAGGCTTTGAACCACTCTGATGCAATACCTGGCTTGGTTGAAGTGCTCGTGGTCCACTAACTTTGCGGGTTTTCTCAAACTGGGACGAAATCCTTGTCATGTGACCCAGCGCAGCAATAAACGATAGTCTTGAGACTACCTGCGCAAATAAAATTACACTTCAATCACAGATGATACCATACTGACCATTATACAAAACAGCTGTCGGCCTTCACTGCTCTACTAAATTTAACCATAAGTTGCAAGCATTAACTTGGTGCAAGCAATAAATACAAATATTAGAGATATACCTGAGTGACACCTTTCCGATCCATCTTGAATCGCTTCACTGCCCAATTCCCGCTTGATATTGCATGCTCCAACCCGTTCGTCAATGTATCTGGTCGTATTAGCTGGCATGATACAAAATAATTGGCCGAACTTAGTTTAACAGTAATCATTTAAAGAATGCAATCTCAATATGCAGGTAAGATCTAGAATATCCCCTTCCGAAAATGTGACTTCCACAGTAAAATAATATCATATGAAGATGGATTACCTTGATGATATCAAACTGAGTGGATCTATTTGCTTTGCTCAACGTGGCATCCATTGATTTCTTCAGTTCAGCATTCATTCGCTTAAACAAATCCTGTGGACCATACTAGACAGCCTTAAGCACATAGCGTTGAAATATAAATAACAATCTATACCCATATAGGAACCCATGCAAGGTAGAACACGAAAATTTTCAGATAAATCCACAAAAGTAGGCATTGCCATGTATGAAGCTCTACTTTTTTACATTCCTGCATTTGTAAAACTAAGGTTGCTTCAATCGTCTCCTACTTTCCGGTTACCAAGCCTGTCTTATCAAATGGAAAGATTAGAAGTAAGGGTACGAGGTTCAAACCTCAAATAACAGCGAAAGCAGCTGCCCAGCAAGTTCCAACCGCTTATTACCAACATAATCCTGAACATTAAGAGAAAAGGTGAGTTTTGAGTAATATTAAGTTAGGAGGTTAAATAACATAACAATCACTAATGAGGCAAGCTTCAACCACACCACAATCGTCTCAAGTAATGCACTTGAGATCAGGTTTCAAATTAATAGACAAATAGGCTTGCCAAAACAGATCAGAGGATCGTTAATCAATACAGTTCAGCACAAAATGTGTATTTCGATAATATTCTACACTAATCACAGTATGTGGCAATTCAACACACCAGCTCACACGCATACATGATATGGAGGGAATAATACTAACCATGTCATCAACAGCTTCTCTGTTGAGCATTGCTTCAAGCATCTTACGGATAATGACTGCAAGGTATATGCACTTCGCTCGAAAATCAAATTGATGCACCTGAGGAGACGAAGAAATAACTATCATTCTCCAATGAACCACGCTGAAACTATAGAAATTTTGCCAATTACCTGTGAGAGACGATTTGATTTACCTACACTTGAGTTGATAAGCTTGAACAAGCGTTATTATATGACTTAAGATCATAACTTCCAAAAGAAAATGATTAGAAACTTTGACATAGATGCATCTTAAGTAGGATGGTTGGTGATTACAGGAACATGAGCTAACACCACCGTTGCGAGAATGTCACGAGCCTCGTCCACCTATGCAGAAGTATTGCCCTCAGCAATTAGGAAGTGATCAGCAAGAAAAGAGCTTAAAAAAAACAAGAGTCAATGACCATGTACATTATTACTTTCAGGAATTGAACAAAATTAAACAAAATTCCACATTCGAACATACCTTGGTTCTCTTCTGTTTTGTGAACATGTTTCTGCTTCTAACCTGAGGACGGACGAAAGAGAGGTTTGTAAGAAAAATAGAGAAATAGAAAAATAAAGATTTGTTGAAGACCCCCACGACCAACCAGGCAGTCTTGTAGATACCCGAGGCCAATTCTTACAACAGTGAGCTTTGAGAAAAAAAGATGATCTCACCGCATTACACACACACCCTCTTCAAAGTAAAGAATGTCATTCACGAGTAAATGAACACATGAACAAACGAAGGAGAACGTGAAGCGCGATAATGTAATCAAAAAGCCTTGGTGGTGCATATATGACTTCTTTGCATAAAATCACAATATATCTCTACACATCAAGAGCTTATAACATGTTTAAGGACATTGCAACACGTACCTTCGAGCCTAGGTACTCAAGCGCCTGGTGACTGGTGTATATTTTAAGAGCAGCACATTCCTATATACAACAACGAATATCAGTACCATCAACAATTTTCTGCAATCCAGTTGTCAAAAAGGTGGTAGGATCATTTGAGTCAATTTCGTAAAAAATAATAAATTATAACCCATTAATATTATATATATATATATATACACAACAGTCAAGTAAAACTCAATATAATTGACACTGTACCTGTAATGAAGGATTAAGTATTCCAGCATACTTCGGATCTCTACCCACCATCTGCACAATTTCTTGGTCCGACTCCATGCCCATTGCTCTCATCACCACAACAATAGGTATCTAAAAACATTTGAACGTTTGCTTTCAGAACACCAAGACTTCCTATGTTTGCTTCACTCTCATCAAATCTACGAAAAAAAGGTCTAAACTTATAATATGAGCCTCTGATAATATATGCTCCAGTTTTTCTGCAAAGATATAATTGACGATACGTCAATATGAATGCGTAGAACATACATCATCGCCAAATGTGTTGTGGCGAAGGTAAATTCGCTCATGCTTCACCACCATGTTCGTCTTACTCTTCCGTTCATGAGTACTACTTGTCACTGATGCAGCCACACTACAAGCAACAATTCCGTTAACTCATGTACAAAGTTTATCAGGATAAATAAATCTAAAGTTTTCATAAATTCAGTCCACGACCAACTTCCACAACCTCCAATCGAAGTGAAACCTTAGCGGAACAACCGTGTCGAAGGAATCCAGTGGAGGAACTAAACTAATACATCAAGTCTATCTGAATGATAAAGATGACGGACAATAAGAGGGTGAGAAAACTGAAAAGAATCTAAACTATTATGTTCCTGAATCGTTCAAACTTTGGAATCATCCTTCTTCCTTACCTGCCACTGCTGTCCGTTGTAATGATTATTCGATTCTTCGATAGCTGTTCCTGAATCAGGATGACCTTTTCAGTTCCTTTGACCACAAAATAACCACCTGGATCAAGAGGGCACTCCCCTACTTTGGCTAGTTGGGCTTCGTTCTTTCCAGCGAGGATGCACCGAGAACTTCGTAACATAATGGGCATCCGCCCTATGTTGATGCTTCCCTGAGTGCATAATGACAGCAAGTCGCATCAGCTTAATGTTATCCAAGATTTCTCCATTAATTGTGTATGCAACTAATATCAACGAATATAAATATGGTGAGTCATGTCCATTCACTCCTAAAATCTGAAACCCTGAATTAAATTCCTTCAGTACCCACAAGTACTCACAACAGCATTCAAGTTCTTGCACTGTCGGAATTGATTTCACAGAAAGAGACAAAGAGCCCACGAAATCGCACCTCTTGCTTTCCATCCTTCCCTTTTCGCACAACAACCTCTTTCCCTCTGGTATACTCCACGTCCACACTTATCGGCGCTGAATAACTGTATTTAAAAAAAAAAAAAAAGATCTGAATCAGAAGTGTTCGGGATGGTCCTAGTACTCACAACGTTGCAATGTATAAAATTCAGATAACATAAACTCAAAAGGTATTAATACACACATATTCTTAGAAACATTTCCCACTTTCCCAACCCATTGGACACCGAATTTGTGAAAAATCCAACTACCCACTCCATTGAGATCACTGTGTAAAACCGAATACAACTAGAACGACCAGCAAGCCAAGACGTACGTCATGTCGCGGAGGCGGCATTGCTGAGGTGTGATAGGCTCGTAAATGTAGTCTTGCTCCACACATGGCTCTCCCACAAAAATATCCAAGTATCTGGGATCAATGAAATCCAGTTTACAAATCGCAATGCAACACAGCAACACGCAAATGAGGATCGAGCAAATACTGATAAGCTACATCATCTAAAAACAACGTAAATACTCACTTCAAGTAGAAATTGGCGTCTACGTCGGAGGTCACTTTCTCGTTCCCCTGAGCATGAATGATCTTCTTAATTTCGCAGTTGATGAAGTAGTTGAAGGAGTCAATGTGCTGTTTCACCAGTCCTCTTACCTGTAAACCCCAAGCACAACAAATACTCTAATTCTCAATTCCACGAATCCCAAAAACCCTAAAACCCTAATCAGACAGCACCAATCCTAAAACCCTACAACCTCAAGAATTGCGCGCTAGGTAGAGCGAGCACCTTAAGAAATGAAGGCAAAAGCTGAAACTTGTCAACAGCGGTCTTCACTGGCGCTTCCAATCCTTCCTTATGGCTGTGAGAGGCACGAACCACCAAAACCATATATCACTAGCCCAATAAACCCCTAACCTGAACTCCAAATCCCAAATTTGAACAAAAATTGAAAATCAGCAAGTCAAACGAGTTTGGCATGAAAAGAATTCAAACCTAGAAACGATGTTATCACCATCGTCCACCTCATCAGCCTTGCTGACCCCCATGATAAGGAATAAACCGCCGCTTGGGAGTCAATCAGAATTGGAGGCCAAAACTTGTACTTCTCTAAATCATACCTGAATCAACTCAGCTACAAGCATAACATCAAACAGAATCTAAGACCAGGACGGTGGAAGACAAGCCCCGAAACTCGACGCGAATCTCACTATAATCAACCTAGGTCCAGAGCCAAACTGCATGAGAAGGCACAATCCGGAAAATTTTCAGTCTGAATCCCAATTCGGATATTACAGACACGAATCCAACAATAGCAATTATCAACAACACTCCCTATATCTATATAATCGGCTCGCTCACCAGTCAGATTGTCTCTTGGAGTGGTGCGGCAACAAACTGAGGAATCTTTGGAGCGTTTCTGCAAAGGTGGTGATTTACTTTAGAGCGTGGGTGTGGAATCACGCATTCACACAGAGCACCGCATGAGGTTTGTCGATTGCAGTGCGAAGTATCGGAGCAACTTCCAAGACAACAACCGATCAATTTTTTCTTCACATAAATCGAGTTCGGCACCTTGTCACGAGGATATATTTTCCTTTCTTCTTGCGAGGGACCAAGTTCTGTGCGCGAGATGGTGTTGTGGGTTGTGCGTTACTCCGTGCTACTGAACCACATGGGTGTCAAGTTTCGTAAGACAATGTGAAATTGGGAACAGTTTGTTGTTGCAAAACTTACTGACACCGTCAGTTATATACAACAGGAGCCTTTAGATACACGTAATGAATTTGTTTTTACACCAAAAAAAGATTTGTTCTTTTTGTTGATTCTGTCCAAAGCATAATAAACAACGAATGAAAGTTTGGAGTTCAAGGATGGTTTGGTTTCCTTCAATGATCTATGGTCTGTACTTAAGATTTTAGAGGCACGTCAAGTTTTTCTTGCGACTGTTGCTGAAAGTTTGCAACCCCATTGTTTGACGATATCAATGAGAACATTAGGTTTTGCGATACGTTGCCCTCACACTCGCCTTGTTCCTTATTAAAAAGTAATCCTTGTGCTTAAACACCTCAATTGGAGAAAAAAACAAAACCCAAAAAACTAGTGCTGAAGTCAGAGGCCTGTTAGAGTGAGAAAATGAACCATTTATGGTTTGGAATCAAAACCCTAACCCTAACCAACTTAAACCCTTAAACCCCACTTTCACTTGATGGGTTTCCGCTGATGGAATATGTGTTTTCTGTTGAGGAAATAAGCTGCATTCTCCACATCGGCATGTTGGCACGTGCTGGTTTCGGAGTTAAGTGATTTTTGCCGTGTGTTCGGAGCGGGGCATCAGTGCGGGTGCTTCTGCGGTGTCCTTTCGTTGAGGTTTGAGGGTTGAACTTATACCTTGCGTGCTGCAATTTTGTAGAGAATTTTTACTATTATAACTAGTTCTGTTCCAGGTTTATGATGCAATCGGTTTGGCGATCGTGTCCGTTCTGAGGATACAGAAGTTTTGTGGGGTTTGAGTAGCCCTCGTGCAATTTTTCATCGAAAATGGGAATCTCTAGGCGAGCTTTGATCAGGCTGGTGCCTCTCTCTCGAAACGTGATCGCTCGGAATCGTCAAGCTTGTACGTGCTGCTTGTCTTTCCTTTTCAGTGATAGGAGCTGCAATTGTGTTGAGAAGGCGTTTTGGACAAAGGAAATGATGCTAACTGTTCTTCATGTACTTGTGTCGCCAATCTATGATAAATGCTATGGTTTCAAATCTATGCAACGTTCTATATCTTGGAAACGCTGTGTGTTGCGAAATTTTGGGAACAGTGGCGTAATATGAGGTTTATGGTTTGCCTAGCGAGCGCTACGCTGAATACATGTCTGTTGAGTGAGGAATTCTCTCCTTACAAGTATGTAATCGGTATATAAGTTGGGCGATTACAGTATGGGATGTTTGAATGAAAGAGCACTCTGTAGGTTTTACGTCTCCGTATTACTCTTGATTTTCATTAAACCACAATCTGTTAATTCTAAAAGCAGGTGGAAGGGGTCCCTACACATGTTCGTAGTGGCGCGATCCCTGTAGTGGAGGTCTTATGCATTTTCAACAGGATGAAGAAAACGACGTTTCTGAATGCAATCTAACCTTGCCTTCCTGGTTGAGTAGTTGCAGGCGTGCACGATGGAGCCTCTGCTAATCATTATGAGAAATCGATTGTAGAAAGTTATGGTGGGAATGGAGTTATAAACATAAATGCTTCCAGCAGCTCCCAGGTTTTAAATCAGCGTCAAGTTTCCGAGCAGAAATATATCCGTACCCTGTTATCTGGAACCGTGGTTTCAAATTGTTCGAGAAACACTCGGAGGGACTTGCATACTTCATCCCTCGAATTACATAGATGGCGGAATGTCCCACATACAAGTAGCAGATTGGGCAGTTTTGGCGACCGAGTTTGGTTAGGATATAGGTACAACAGCGCTGATGCGCACTCTGATTCAGAATCCAAGAAAGGTCTGCAGGAGAGTCAGATTGGACAAGAACTATTGTCCGATGATAAAGAACAGTCCTCTGCAGCCCCATCAGTCACTTCGCAAGGTTCGGCAATTAGTATAAACGATACTGCTAGTTTTCCAAATAGTTTTGCTCCTGCAAGATATGCCTGGTTTTGTACGACGAGTTATCCATGTATTTTTACCTGTTGTTACGCGAAGGAGAAGCGTTTGTTTCCTTGTTAAATGAGTGAAATTTAAGACTTAAGACAATGCGGTTTTGGGACTTGCCCTTACCACTCCGCGTAGTCTTGCCGTTTTGAGATCAAAATCTGTACTTTTGCTCACTTAGCTCTATTGTTGGGATATTCTTCTGTAGAGTTGAAACTAGCTCATGGTGAGACCCTATCGCCCGAGGAGGAGGCTATTTTGAAGGAAGCTGAGGCTGAATATGAAAGTGCTCAACGTGAAGAAGGTGATTCATGACGATTTATCTTTATTCTCATTTTATGATTAGTAGTGTCTTTTTTTTTTTATCTTTTTTCTTTTTTTTTACTTGGACCGAGTTAAGGAAATTTGAATCGATCTTTTGTAATACAACAAGTACGTACTGACTAGCGCCTTTTGAGGAGTTAAGATTCTAACAATACAACCTGGAATTTTGCCGAAGATCCAATTAGCGTGGAAAGTATTCAGGAAATGTTGAAGGATTTGTCAGCTGTAGCAGACCCAAAAGATCCTCGTATTGCCATTGTTTCTTTGAGGTTAGGTCAGGAGTACGAAGCCAGGGGCGAAGACCCCAAAACCTTCTTGAAACTAGGAGAACAAGCCCTCAGCATCTTTCAAACAGCCGGAGAATTTTCTCTAGAGATTGGAATGTGCTACCATCTCATTGCTTTAGCCCAGCATAGATTGGGGCAACAGCATTTAAGCCTCGAAAATCTGTACTTAGCATTGTCCCTTCTCAAGGATAATGAAGAGAAAGAGAGTGCACCAGTGAAGTTTGCTGTTCAATTTCTGCTGGGTGACACTTTGTCATCTATGGGGAAACATGAAGAAGCCCTCCAACACTATGTTGCGGGGCTGGCTGTCCAAGAGACTATAATGGACGAAAGTCATCCGCAATTAGCCTCCAACTATCGGCAGGTATGTTTATTCTGTGTAGTTTCAACTAGAAGTTCATTCTGGCATATGTCATACAGAAATGTTACATCTGGAGTTAATTTCCTTATTTAGTACAACTTATAGGCGTGATTTGTGGTTCATTGAAATGGTGAATCCCCTCGTGGTCCAATCGAAGAACAAATTTTTCATGAAATGTGGTCTATACTTGAGTAGGTTGGTGAGGCGTTCACTCAGGTGATGTTATTTGACGAAGCAAAAGCGCTTGTTGAAAAAGCACTTGAATCTCACATCAAAATTAATGGCCAAGGCTCTATGGACGAAGCTATCGATCGCCGTCTCCTGTCTGTTATTTACAGTGGTCTGGAAGAGCATAATAAAGCCCTGGAAGAGCAATTGATTGTGAAGTCCATCTTGAATGAAAAGAATTTGGAGTCTGAAGCAGTGTTTGTCGACATTGCCATTGCCGATACTCAAGTCGCTTTGGGTAGGTTTGACGATGCAATTGTAACTCTTCAAAATGCCATCTCCCACTTGGAGGAAGGTAGCTCAATGAGGGTTCTTGCAACTGTAAACCTTGCTAAGGCATATACCCAGCAGAGAAACAATGAGAAAGCTGAAGAACATTCCAGGTAGCTTCAGATTTCCTTAACACATAACAAGGAACATTGTATAGATAGGTGATCATCCTCTAGCCACAGGTATAGCTGTGGATCCTCGAGCCTAATCAACAAAATTGTTGTACAGGCAGGGGAATGCAACTGATATCCATCTGTAGTAAACATGTATGTTCAGTGTCTCTTGATTATTGTCTTAGAAGTCATCTAACTTAAGTGTTCATATATTAATGTTCCCTCAGAGCATTCTGAGTAGCAACTAGTGATAGTTTTGTCGACAGTGTAGTTCATGAGATTGGTCCTTGAGTTTGTTTTTTCAGCTTATTGTAACCTTGATTGTCATTTGGTTTGTGCTGCAGGGAGGCTATTGCGATTCTCAACTCAAAGCTTGAAGGCTCGACAGGAGGAGATAGTACTGAGTTGCTCGCGGCTGGGGAGTGTTACACAGAGTTAGCTGCGATCTATCAACACATGAACCAGCCTGACGAAGCGATATCTCTCCTAGAGAAAGGTCTCTCCATCTACAAGCAGTTGCCGCAGCAACTGAATGCTACTGCAGGTATGAAGTCTGTTCTCTGGAGGAGTTTGTTTTGTGCTTCTGCTATCTTTGGAGCGTTTTGGTTTCATTGTCTTGGTTAGTTTGTGAAAGTGTGAGTTTGTGTAGTTGTTGTATTTGGTGTTAAGATATGGTCAAAATGCATATGGATTGTCTTCTGTTTCTTGTGAAGAAGTCGTAATTTTATGGTATTTTTTGTTTCGGAGGTAAGTTAAGTTCACATGCACATGGGTTCCTTGCAGGCTCGCAAGCTCAAATTGGTATGCTCCTTCTTTTCAATAGGAGAGTACATGAGGCTATACCCTATATGGAAGAGGCTGCCGCGAATCTGAGACTGAGTTTTGGGGCTGGACACTACTCCCTCGCGCTTGTTCTAAATCATTTAGCCGTTGCTCACGTCGAGCTAAAGAACCTGACCAAGGCAGTTGAACTTTTTGAAGAAGCAAAGAGTATATATATAAAGACACATGGACCCGGCCAGCAAGACACGCTTTCAATTTATTACAATTTAATGAAAGTTTATGGAGAAATGAGCAGGAAGGAGGAAGCAATTGCAAATGCCACACACATTGTAGCGGAGTTGGAGAAGAAGGGTGAACCAGCAAAAGATGCTCTGGCTGCAGCACAGAAGGACTTGGCTGACCTCGAAGGATCTCAGAGCATCTCGCCACCAGAGAGTACTTAAGGATCAACGGCGTTCATGAAACTTGTGATTGGCGAGATTGGTGATTGATGCGGTGTTATAGAACTTCTTCAAGTCTATTTGCCAGTTCTTTCGGTCCATGCCCCGCTTGATTACCAGAACAGGCATGAAGTATTGATATGGTTCTGATTTGATCTCCAAGGCTGTGTTGTTTTCGATCTGACTGGTGAATTTTTAGCAGCCTGTAAACAATATGTCAGGGAATTTACCAAGCACATTCTACATTTAATGGAAATCTTGCAGGTCAGAAGGTTTCTTTAGACCAAGGTACTCGGATTTGTTTACGAAACCTTATTTCGATTTTTCAAATACTCTCACAGCAGTCCCGTAGAACTCATGCTGGCCCATGTTGATCATTAGATGGGCAAGTTAGTTTTTGCAGTTTAGTGGTCTATTGATACACCGTTTAGGATATTTCGTTGAAAATTGTGCCTGGCCTGTGCGCTACGACTTTTAAGCACTGGTCTGTTACAGGTTTTCCTGACATGTTCTTCAAATTTTTTACAGAGATTTGCAGGCAAGTTTAATAAAGGTAGCAGATAAACTAGACTCTATAGTCTGAATGGTGAGGTTATCTACTCGAATTTGCTATGAAAAGCCAACGAATTATCAATTCTGTAAAACTTTTTGAGTTACCAAATTGGTATCTGAAGTACCTCGAAAACCAATTTAGTTTCTTAGAATTCTTTGGGTCGTTCAATTTGAGTCAAGGGCAAGTGAACTTGACGAGGTGGGCTTGAGGCTAAAATGAATTAGTTCATACAATTTCTTTTTCAACACTTTAAAAATTGAAAATTCTTTTGGTTGTTTTATGTTACTGTTGTGAACTTTTTTAAAATTTTGAAAAGTTGATTTCATCTGTAAATCATCATGTAAGATGGATTCACAAATAAAATTAGAAAAAATAAAGATTTTTTTTAATACAAACTATATAAGTGAAATTTACTAAATTGAACGATTTTGATTATATATAGAGAGGAATGTCAAATAGACTCAATTTTTTACTAAATTAATCCACCCATCACAAAATAAAATAATGATCTCTAGATTCATTTCTCCACTATTGGATTTGCAATCTACAAAAACCAACCACACCCATCATGATTATCATATCCTTCATCAAAGACTATTTAACATTCCCCTATATATATACATATAAATAAAACAAGAATGATTAATACATAGAAATATAAAAGATTCTAACTGTTTTATTTAATTAAAGTTGAAGCATATTTAAGATAGTTGATATAATATAAAAATAGTATATATATATATATATATATATAATTGGATTTTATGCCCACATACATGATTAACAGTTTTTTGTTATCACAACAAGTTAATGATATGCATGTCTTATTGTTTGTGTCATGTATAAGATAGTTATTTATGCTGGTATATGATACTTTGACTGTTATGCAAATAGAAATATTTTAATCTAATCTATTTTTGTAGTACTTTTCAACATTGGCTCCAATATGAAACCCACACAAATCCAACTTCCATGCTGTATGCATGAGTGGTCTTTTAAATTGCAATCTTACACATAATTTAATCTTTTTATTTATCACTAGCATGAAATGAAATACAACACTGATACCAATGTAGAAAGTAATCATTTTTTTTTTTTTTTTTTTCAAAAGCCTTTAGCATATTGCTCAAAGAACTTCTTGCATTTATAGAGCCATGTTTCCAAAAAAAGATTAATTTTCTTTTCTTTTTGCATTGTGTTATTTTGTTGTAAGTAAAAATGAGATGAAAAAATAAATAAGTAAATGAAAACACATTTATGTAAAACTTTTATTTTATAATATGTACTTTTGTAATTTACAAATATTTTGCATTGACTTATATAATAATATAAATTATTTTGATTTATGCAAAGAGATATAATACATGTAAGTTTTATAACTTCTTTGAGATTTAAGTCTCAATCTTGCAATTATTTTGTTAGTCAAGGTTCTCTACAACACATTTAGGGTTAAAGGCAAAAAGTCATTTTTTCTTTACCTTATGCTTAATTAGTAAAACAAGCTTTCACAATCATGGTGAAAATACTCTAGTTCTTGGAAAGATATATTAAAATTCATTAAGAAGCAACAATTTTATGCATATCAGTTTCGATCCTAAAATTCCATTATATATACAAGTCTTTTCTAAATTTTCCAACACAAATCATTTGCACCCATACAACAAAAGATTGACACCTTTTTAGCAAAATTTTATCTCGAATTGCATACATTTTTCACACAAAGATGTTCATAACTTTGTACAACTGCATTTGCATTTCACGGACCTTTTCGAAGTTAGGTTCACTATATGGGTTTGAATACTTGAATATAAGTATACAAGTGCACTATACAAGTATGATGAAAATTTGCAAGTGTTGGTGAAGGTCACAGTTACACTTTATGAAAATGGAAGCATGATCAACAGAAATGGGTACTGAGAGAGATATACACAAGCACAGAGTCAGAACAAACAATTGGGTTCAGAATCCATGAATGGTCCTTACAATGGGGACAAAAAAGGCCTTCAAAACGTGCAGCATTTGCAAGGTTCTCACCACCAAAGCACACCATTAAACCTCCACACTGAATAACTAAACGGCAAAGTATTACCGGTCAAAATTCTTCTGTATTTCTTTTGATGCTCCCTCAAAGAACAGTGTTATTGCAAAGAATGGCAAAAATACAATCTGTAAAACTACAAACTGAGCATGCTACGGAGACTCTAATCCTGCAAAAGAATGGCACAAGATCATGGTTTCCACCGCCACCACGAAAATTGCCAGCTGCAGCAGCCTCTCAACCCACTTCAGCCTCCTCCGACAACGGATTGTCCAAGTCTTCTAGAGTTTGTACAATTTGGTAGAAGTTGGGTCGTCGTTCCGGATTGGCGAACCAGCAATGCTCCATCAAATGTCGAAGTGCTGGTGGACAGTCATCATCAACAGGAGGCCTCAGGTTCTTATTCACCACCGCGTAAGCAACTTGCACCGGAGTCATGTCTGGATATGGGACGAGCCCGGTCACAAGCTCCCACAACACAATTCCGAAGCTGTACACATCCACCTTCTTGGAGTAATGCTTGTGGCTGATCATCTCGGGAGCCATCCAGCGGTACGTGCCTGTATCGGCATTCTTAGAATCGCACTCCGTTTCCAAGCATCCGACACCGAAGTCTGTCAACTTGAGATGCAGATCCTCCGTGAGGACAATGTTCTCGGACTTGAGATCTCGGTGGACTACCCCTTGCGAATGCAAGTATTCCATCCCCCGGGCCACATCCAGTGCCATGGACAAGACGATTTTATACGGGAGTGACCCAGATTCGTTTTTGTGCAGGAAAGCTCGCAGCGAGCCGCCTGGAACGTACTCCATGATCAGAACACACACGGGAGGTTTCCATGATGCAGCTACGAAGGTGACAATATTTGGGTGATGAAGTTGGGACAGATTGTGCACTTCCTGCATGAACTGGCGCTCCAACTTGGTGGCGGTGTCAGCGTCCTCGCAGCTGTCGATCCTGAGAATCTTCACTGCGACATCTTGATCCTTGTACACACCGTGGTAGAGTCGGGTATGATTGCCGGAGGCGAATTTCTGACCCACGAATAATGAGGACATGTCGCAAATATATGCCTCAGGGACTTCCAGTTCCAGGTGCGACGCTTCTTGTTGCGAGACCTCGACAAAGTGTGCCCATGACGCGGATTTCACAATGTCGGGGAACTTAATCTTCTTTTTGTGTTTGGAACTTGGCCGAGCTTCCATGCTATTAACCCTCGGCAAGGATGGTTCAGCACTTTTCTGTTTCCTCAACCAATGGTGGTTTCCACTCCCCGCAGCGGGCTCATCTGTTTTCTTCCTTGCAGATGAGCTCCCTTTATCCGGACTGCTCTCCAGCGATCTGGACCTATACTTCGGCGATTTCTCCTTCTCCGGCGCATGGTCATCTTGAGCCTTTTCAACCCCAGTGAAATGAACCCCCAGTGGAATAGTCTTCGTCTTGTGATGGCCGAAGAATGGCAACTTAGGATGGAATCCTCGGCCACCGACGTGCAATTTCCCAAATCCTGTCGCAGAATGAACTGGCTCTGTAAGCGTCACTTTCTCCCGAGGCTTCGGCATCGTGAGAATCAAGCGTCAGGATGTCAATTGTAATTCCTCGTTCCACGTTAAACCCTGACCGACACCACTTTTCGCAAAATTTGATAATGAATTCGATTTCTTGATCACTCGGTACAAAGTGGAGCCATGCATACGTCCCAATCGATATCGAAAATTTTGAATGTTGTTTTCTCAAACAGGTACGAAAAAAGAAAAAAGAAAAACAAAACAAAAAACAAAAAAACAGGGGGGGGGGGATAGAAAAAGAAAAACGGAAAAGAAGAAGAAATGAAACCCTCAAGAGTTTTTTCCAACACGGACATCGGTCACAAGAACACCACGCAACTCATCTTCTCACTCTCATCCCCAACACCCGCTCCATCTTCGCACTCCTCCATAATCCTCAACCTTCCTTTCCAAGCCCAAAACCTTGTTCCGCCAACAACTAAGAGCTACCTCGCCTATCTCTCACTTGCACACCGTAAGAAGTTCTATAGCATCGTTACCATCTGTATCCAAAACCGCTTGCGCCGCAACCCTTCATCACTTCTCGAATGCCACATTTCAGGAACAGTTGAATGTCATGTACTTATACAACAAGCCGCCCGCAACCTTCCGAGGAGAGAAGGGGCTGCTCAAAGACGACCTCCTTTTTTATCCGAAATGACACCAGGCATTCACCATTAACAGTAACAGTAAGCCTCGTGGCAATTTTGTTGGGAGCCTGGCCTTTGCTGAGTCAAAACCTTGCTTCGAAGAGAACACGATTCGAGATTGCAATAAACATATATATATATATATCATTGCCCAATTCCGCCACTCTTCTCCTATAAATCTGTAAATCGCTTCTTCAAAGAAACTTGTGACGGTTCCATATTCCTCATTAGATGCCCACTTCGGGTATTGGCCGAGTGCATGTCCGCACTCAACCTACCGCAATCACCAGAATCATAGTTGTGCCACTTGGGCACACTCAACGGAGAATGCTTAGAAGCACATCTTCAGTAGATTCCGCTCCCTTACACGAAGCAATGCAAAGCACGTGGCAATCCTTCGCCGCAAATAGAACTTGACTACCCTCGAGCAATTGGGCCCAGCCACAACGCAGGCTAACGTGCCCTCCTGATCGACAGGTGACGATTACTGACGATTACTCTCAGTTGAGGTGATTTGATACGACGAGAAACTTCAATACAGATTGGTAGATTCACGGTTAAATTTTCTGTTCTCAACACAAGTGTGCTTGACTTTACTGTTACAATCAAATCCTCCCGCCCCTCACCGAGACGGAGTGTGAAATTGCGGCAAGGAAAAAGCACGGGAATCGTGCTTGTGCAGTGGTATCTGAATTTCACAGCGTTGCGCCTTTCTTCATTTCCGTCGAACGATTACGTAAAGAAACCATTGTGATGATGTTCCATTCGCTCAGAATAACCCGAAGTCCAATAATGGATTTCCATCGTGCGAATGCGACTGCCACACGTTACACGCATTGGAGATGGTAAAGACGGCCTCTAAAAGTCCACCACAAGAATTGGTGGGGCCACTCCCTCCGCCTCCTCCTTTCCATTCCTCCTCGAATGTCGCCTTGCCGTCGCCGCTGAAGAGTACAACGCGGGACCGTGAACCCGGCCGATGAATGAACATTTTTCCAAAGCAGCGCGAACCCACATGCATCCGCAAAGGTGTCCAACAATCCAAACGAAGTCAACATCAACTCCCCTGTACGCATCTTCGAAACTGTCTTCGCAGCTATCGGATTACACATGGACACACGCACACACTATTGCGCACTTGCTCCGATAACTGGCAAAAAGGCGAGAGCTCTCACCACCTCCTCAAGAAGAAAAATCCGTGTGGCATGCCCTCAACCCTCACCTTGATGCCATGCTGTCGCCACATTCCATGCAGAGGAGTCTGGCGACGCAACAGTGCCACCACCACCTCCTCGCAATCAATGGGAATGTTCTTCTTCCACCCTGCCTGCTGCCTGCGCGGCACTGATGTGAGTGAGTGAGTCAAGCTTGGGATGCTGAATCATTCAATGAGTTTTTGCCATTCGTGACGCATCAACAGCTCCTCCGGTGTTTCCTAAGGCATCGGGGAATGATCCCTCCGAGGTGCGCGACACAGTGTCGGATGGTGGGGCTGTGGGGTGGTGGTGACGGTAGTGGAATCAGCGCCATCGCCATCGCCGCGATGCTAGCAGCAGCAGCATCGGGTTGCGACACGCGGAATGAGAGAGAGAGAGAGAGAGAGAGTGCGATGCGATGCGATGCGACACTCAACCCTCTCACTCGGCGCACATCATGAGTTTGACATACACACACACACAATTGGGAAATTTGTGTGTCGTTGTGCAATTGTGTTTGAACACCTGTTCATTCAGAGCGCGATTTTAAGTTAGGGTTGAGGTTTTAGTTAGTGGAGGAGAATTAGAATATATGTGGTATATATTGTACACATGTGGTATACATTGCTACTAAGATAACAATTATAGAAGGAAAGTAAAGAATTAGAAAATTTAGGTGAGAAGGTGCAAGTAGAAGGCAAATTTAATGGTGTAAAGAACCAAAATAATCCAACAAAGGAAATTACTTACAAAAATTGAAACCTAATATGTTTGTTTGAATTTATTTTACTTAGATAATAGAAGTAAGTAGATCTAAACAAAATTAAGTGGAAATTACTTAAGTAGATTATATCTTCTTCAAAAAACATCACAGAAGTTTATTAGAAATATTTTAGATCTTTAGATTCTTTTACATATGCCACATGGCTATAAAAACTTCTATTAGAAGTTTGCTAGATTAGAAGCTGCAATGGAAGCAACCTAGAACTTTGAGACTAAGGCCATAAGCCTTGTGGTTGTTAGAAAGCTTTTGCCAAAAAAAGAAGATTAAATTCAACTTCATTTATATTTGTGCAAAAAAAAACTAAATAAAATATCTAACTATTTTTGTTAAAATTAATAAAAAAAAAATCAAATTATTTTTTCAAAACTTTAACCTATTTTAGATGATTTGGTACTAATTTGTTATATAATATAGTAGAAAAAATCTAAAAATTATATATATATATATATATATATATATATATCTATATATATATTCAATATATAAGAGTAAATAGAATTTTGTGATAAAATCTCTTAGAAATTTATATTTAAAGCAATAGACATTGTAGGATTTGAATCTTAGCTTAAAAAAATAGTAAAAAGAAATTAGTAGGTATCAAATGATAGTTAATATTATTTAGATCACATTTTAAAAGTTTTAATTAGATGAAGAAATCAAACAAGAATGAATAACTATTTAATACCTTATAATTTTACACAAAGTGTTTCAGTAATCTAAAAACAAATCTAAATATTTAGTAACCAACAACAACAACAACAAAAAAAAAAAAAAAACTAAAAAAAAAAAAAACTAAATAGTATATTAATAAATTAGGTATTTTTATACTAAAAATTATATCTAATACATAGGATCATTGACTTATTTGTGAGTTTCATTCTTTTTTATATCTCAATACTTATCGATGAATTCTATAGCACTGTGATATTCAAATAGAATGTAATTGTAATGACTGAAAAAAATACAGTTTAAAAGTACAAAAAAACTGAAAACTTAATTTAATTTTTTTATTAAGGTATTTTTTTAATTGATAAAAAAAAATCTAATCTTAAGTATTTCAGAAAATTAAAAAAATATATATATCTTGTAAGAAATAATCAAAGTAGAACATTTTTGATTTTTATTGTAATTTTATGGTGTTGATTTTTAATTTATGAAGTATATAAATAATTAAAATTAAATAATTAGACACATCTAATAAATTGTAATACATAAAATATAATAGAGCTTAGTTTTCAAATCTAGATTTAAAAGTGTAGACCTAAAAATGACACTTTATAAATAAATCTTTGTAGAATATTTCTCTGCAAATAGAGAATAAAGCTTAATAGGCCAACAATAACTTTCATTGTTTTATCAATTAGATAGAAGATTTAGGTTATCATTCCAACATAATCCAATCTCTTAATAGTTTTTAAAATATAATGTTAGAATGATGTAACTAATAGAAGATATAATAAGATATCATTTGGACATTTATTGGACAACAAAAACCTCTACTATGTTTTCAACACAGTCCAAAATCTTGCAAAAAAAATTAAAGTTTTAAAAAATACAATAAAATACTTTAAAATAATATTATTGTATTTATTATAATTTATTACATTCAATAAGGAGAAAAATAAAAATTAATAAATAAAAATTTTAAATTTTTTCTTTTTAATTAAATTTTTACACGAGGATAAATAAATGTGTACCATTTAAGACTCAAAAAACAATTTAGTTAGCATTTTGCTCTCGAAAAAAATTACTTTTATCTTCAACATCTACCATTTAATAAAATTATAAGTAAAAAAAAATTAATAAAAATTTATTGAAAAAAACAGGTACTCTAATATAATCAAAGATCAATCAAATTAATTATTAATGATAAAATTATAGTATCACGCATTTTACAATTTTTAAGAAGGCATTTTTCCAGTCTTACTTAGATATGTAAGGGGAAAATTAAATATTCTTTTACAATAAAAACGATGCTACTTGAGGCAGTTATATAGAAAGTAAAAACACTTATATTCTTGATTAAAATCTACATATTGAGTTTTTAACACATCTTTAATTAGTTATTATATTATTAAATGTTAAATTTAATTGTAACTGAGATCATAAATGAAACCAAACTAATATCATTAAATATTTAAAAAAACAAATACATAGTTCGACTTTTGAATTAATGTATTTTTCTACACAAGGCCTTAAAATTCAAAACATAATGTTGAAATTAGTAACTTTATTGCAAAATACATATCTTCATCTTCATGTTTCAACTATTAAATAATATATAATAGTAAAACTCTAATTTTTTTCTAAATTTGATAAAATTATAGAATAATATTAAGGTTGAAGAAACATTATTACAACTACAAATTATTTAGTCTTTATATATAGCATTCAATGCATAGAAGAAACAAATAGGCCAGAGTAAAAGTAGCTATTACAATCTTTTCTTTTGACATACAAGAAACAATTTTCTATACACTATGGATATATCTAGTAGTAAAATATTTTTAGAAAAAATTGTACTTAATCAATATTTATAAACTAAGAATTTTCTAGAATTATTACTTCAAAAAAAAAAAAAAGTATAAATTAAAAATTGGTAAACATTTAATGACAATGTTAAAAATATCCTAGTTTCTTATAAATTATTTCCATACAAAATTACAAAAATTAAGCATTATGGTATGTCCTACTAATTTAATTGTGTTCAAAAAATTATATATATTGAAAATAAAACTTATAAATTTTAATTTATATGATCTAAAATATGTAAGATCATAATGAGATTATTTTAACTGTTTATAAAATTCAACAAGCCATTAAAAAAAACTGGTAATTTTTTCAAATCCTATAGATCTAGAGAAACTCAAACAAGTTTCTACAGAATGCCTAGGTGGATTGTGTTTAGATATTTAGATTTTTAAGAAAAAGAAATATTAATAAGAATTTATTTCATAAAACAGGTTTACAGAGGTACATAGCAATAAAACCAAAGAATTTTTTTAATATTTATTATTAGATTTTGTAATAACTAAATAAAAAAATTAATAATTTTAAAAAATAATTATAATTTTTAAAAAGGCAGTTTAATATAAGTTTTAAGCTTATTTAATTTTTACATTTATGTATAATATTTTCTTTAAATATTAAATTTTCTCTCAAACTTCTAAAAAAACTTCAAAATTATGTAAATTTCATGTTTATTTATTTTTAAAATTGATTAATCTTTTTTAATGGATCGC